CCATCATCAACGTATACTATGGTTTATGTGTAAGGTTCATATTTCGGTGATTTGTCATCGATCCTATGTATATATACTACGTTCATGAATGACCATTAGGGCTCCAATGTAAATCTCAAGGGCAGCCTTATATTGCTTGGCCCAATATTTGAAGACTCTATAGCACATGCTTCCAGTCTCAACTCTATCAATTTTAGCGACACTTAGCTTTGCTTAGGGTTAAAGAGGCTGAAGCACATCTACGTATGTTCAAAATCACTGAGAGACCCAAAGAATAAAGTCTTCTTCAATTGTAATTTCAATACAGTCTAAACAATTTGTAATCGGCATCGGCGGACTAATTACTGTTAAGGGAATGCAAATGACAACTCTGAAATAAACTGTTTTTTTTTTTTTGAATAAGTAATAGGTTCTGAGCCTAGGCCCGTACATCGTCTCAGGCCAAAAACCAAACCATTTTATATGGTCTCCTCCCAAGCGCCAAATAAAATGCTTTATTTTTTCATTGTAAAAAGATGGAGATTTTTTGTATATTTGGTCGTAGATAACGTTGTTAAATCTTAAGGTTTGTATATTATGGATCCACCAATAGTAATAGGTACCATACAATGTGTTTTTTTTTGGGGGTTTCTTTTAGCTATCTTCATGGGGTTCAAAAGGAAATTTTTTAGTTTTTGTCTCGATAATACAGTTTGTTAAGAGGGTTATATGCTTTTGAAAATAATAATAAATCTTCACATTAAAATTAATTTTTAAGATATGTAAAAGAATATGTCTTGCAAAAATAAACTCCTTTAACCATAAACGTCGGAGGATTCTCTTTTGACTTTACAAAAAAGTATTATCGGACGAGTAGGTTGTCACGGTCTAAAAGTTATGGATATATATACATAAACTCACATCTTAAAACTTCTTTCACACTAGTCTAATTGATTCAAGTAATATCAACAGATGTGACTAGGATTCTATTACGTAGTTGACATAAACAAGAGGTCGGTATAATACCCATAACCAAACATTAACTATTTGGGACCTATTGCTAGCTGTTTTCAATCAAGCAGCTTTCAACTTTAAGTTTGTATAATTCTTCACCAAATTAATCCAACCTTTTATTTTTATTTATTTCTAAGAATATTAAATGGCCTACAAGAAAGATTTGTGAATTGTGAGTGATAGATTTTTTCTTAGAAAATGAAGACAAAATTTGAGACAAGGTCTTTATGATGAAAGAAACATTATTAGTCCGTGATGTTTCATCCCCAACGGTTTCATTGTTTTTTTTCTTTTTTCTTTTTCTCCTTTCTCTTTGGATCATAAGAAAGAATACGATTGCATAAGGTCGGCATGTTGTGGATATAGAAATTAATTAGTTTCTATATATTTAGGTTGTAGCTTCAAATTTGTTGTTGCAGAATATGATTTTGTTAGAAAAGAAAAAAAATATGACAAAATATTATATATATATATATATATGGATGTAGTGCTACGACATATAAGGTTATACTTCAATCTATATACATATTTATGATTGATAAAATTAACGCTACAGAAATGATGTAAAAATATGTATCTATAGAATAATTGATGTATTTTTTTGGTTCAAAAGAATAATTGATGTATATATAAATTTTCTTATAACAAACTTATGTAGTTTGTTAAAATATCTCTTTTTCAAGTGACATAGTTTGTCTAGAGTAGGCATGTGGAATGTCTTTACAGCATAGACCATACATTTTTAGCATTGTTAGAATCTCAAATGGGAGGTAGATGATACCTTAAGTAATATATAAATGACATAGTTCAGTTTACTCATTGCTAATTAATTTTGAGTTAGACATTCAAGAAACTTAAAATGACATTAAAGACCATATTATTGCACCAAGTAGAACGATTTAAGTAATGTATGTTTTTAATCCTACAATGAGATTTGATTTGAGATAAACTAAAAAAATCATCTTGAAGAGGCATAGTATGATTCCACATCAAAAAAATATTAAAACACATCTCATTTAAATTTATAAAATAGTATTAGAAAATCTACAATATTATAAATAAGGAAAAGTAAAGTCATAAGTTATTCATTTATTCATTAGAATGTTTTTATTATAAAAATTGCAACTTAGAGGTCATGAGTTATTTATTTTGAAGATGGAACGTTTTAGTAAATAAATCGCTTCCTCATTAATTTTCAAATACATAAAATGGAGGGTTTATATACAAGTAGACATCGACCTAAACTAGAGCCAGTACACCGGAAATGAAATACTCTAAAACTGGTTTATACTTGACCAGTGTACAGATTCAATAAAAAAAATTCCTAAGCGAGTCAACTGCTACATCATTGTTGCTAGAAATAATGATATCATCAACTTAAACTAACATACAGAGGAAAATCATCAAAAATATTTTAGAAACGGGTATGATCATAATGAGATTGAACAAAACCAAGACCAAGTAGAGTGGTTGATAATTTAAGGAAATCATTTCCTTAAGACTTGTCTAAGACTATAGAGAGATTTCTTCAACTTACACACATCATAGGGAGGGAGAGATTCCCCTTGTCTAGATGCATAACCTTGAGGTAAATGCATATAGATTTCTTCATTAAAATCCTCATTAATTAAAACATTAGATATATCCAATTTAGTGAGAATCCAGCCAAAGATTGCATAAACATCAAGTAAAAGTTTGACAGAAGTTTATATACAAGTAGACATTAGCTTAAACCAGAACTTTTTAATCCGGAAATGAAATTCTAAACTGGTTTATCTTTGACTAATGTATAAACTCAATAATATGTACAAATCTCATTTTAGTAAATAAATCTCAATCTCATTAATTATAAAATCTGTACAATTAGAATTATATATACAAGTAGAAATTAGCCTAAAACCAGAACTACTAAATCGAAAATAAAATGCTGAAGTGGTACGTTTATATTTGACTAGTGTATAAACTCAATAATATATACAAAGAACTATACTATATACGGAAATTATGTACATTAATAGAAATCCTGACGTCTTCATTTGGTATAAACTTCCATAAAACCAATCCTAAAAAGTAGGATTCAATAAAACTGAACGAAATTAAAAAATCACATTGAAAATAATTACAGAAAAGTCTTATGTTGTTCCTTTCTTGTTCAATTAATTTTTACACGAAAGTTCTTATAATCTTCATTTCATTGACTCAAAAACATATAGTTCAAAATAAAATATCGTAAATGCTTCTGTCAAACTATCCCAAAATTGGGAATCATACAATTTTTTAGATAGTTGAAAATAAGGCTAAACAACAGAAAAATCCAAAAAATGAAAATTGATTTGCAAATAAAGAAGATAGACCGACGTCAATGGAAACAAAACAAAAAAAAAAAAAACTCAAACATGTGGCCTATATACCCTTGGGACTTATACTTGATTAAGATTGACATATACATCAATGTCTCTTCTGGTAAAACATATACATCAATGTTATACCATCAACATTGAATTATGTTAATATTATTATACATTATTTTACATTATATTTTAGAGAAAATTAGCTCCAATACCACTTTTTTCAAAACGTTTAGGCCCAGTACCACTTTCTGTGCCCACTTAGCATCCATACCACATTCATCATGTGAAAAGACGATTCTACCCTCCAACTTACTGAGACAAGACCCTGCGGTTGATGGGACTCTCCGAATTTTCTGCCGTCCACAGTCTCTCTCCTAACGCATTGGTAACCGTTTTCGTCCCTCTGGTAAACCGTTTTCGTCCCTCTGGCTGGTAAAACAAAGTTGTCCCCGAGTAAATCCAGATCTTCGTCTTCGGCTCTCTGGCGGAATAAAATAAAGATCAAGTTGTCTCCGAGTAAATTCAGATCTTTGGCTGATAAAACCACATCATCTGGCGATGGACAATCAAGAGAAGTTGTCCCCGAGTAAATCCAGATCTCTGGCTGGTAAAACCACATCATCTGGCGATGGACAATCAAGAGATCTGGACTTATTCTTGGGGGACATCATTCACTCTATTTCATAATTATTGTCCATGGTAAATGTAAACTGCATTTAATGCAATGTTTTGTCCTTCTTCTCTGACACAAAGTTGTCTTTCAGACAAAGTTGTCCTTCTCTGACACAAAGTTGTCCTTCTCTGACACAAAGTTGTCCTTCTCTGACACAAAGTTGTCCCCGTTTCCCAACTGGCGTCTACTGTAGCTCCTTCCCCTGACACATACCTGACGCACAGAGAAGGGCAAAATCGTCCAAGAGTTGCCACACAAACACCAAATGTGGTATGGATGCTAAATCCATTTCAAATGTGGTACATTTGCTAGGATTTTCCTAAAATGTGGCACATTTGACAAAATTCCCTATATTTTAATATACATCAACATTGAATTACAATTATGTACATTATTTTAATATTTTAAATAGAATTTATCTAAATATATAATATTATTATTTTCTTCAAAGCTAAGTGAAAAAATTCAAAGCAGCCGTACAGTTACAGAAGCAAACAGAAACTTGACAGCAGAATGGGACATAACTCATCATGCCTTTTTTTTCAGCCAAATTATTACACAAATATTTACGTAATTTTTCATTATTAGTATTTTTTTGTCTATATAAGATTTTAGGATAAAAGAGAAGTATTAATTTATGTATATGTTTTGCATTTGAATGATAAGAAAATATCTCGCATGACTACAAATCTTTGGATATCATTATTTATACACTAACTTCTATACCTCATTTTATCGTTTTATAGCCAAAATAAGAAATTGGTTTTTTTCATATTTTTTAATATTTGAGAAGCGGGAAATGTATGGAGAAGAAAGTGTACACGTGGCGGTCTGGGGACCTTGTAACAAAAATGCAATTAAAAAGCTTTTGAAGCAAGTTAGCCATAGCCGCTTGGCGCTGTGTCGTCTTCGTCTTCTTCTTCTTCTTTCTCTTTCTTTTTCTCATTAAGTGAAGAATTCTCAGAAGTAGAAAATTGAATACCCATGGAGGTAATTTGTGTTTTCAATAATTTGGTGTAATTTTCTGAAAGTTTTATGTTTTTATGTTCTGAGATTTTAGGGTTTTCGATTCCAAATTTTCTGGGTTTTAAGGGTTTTCGATTATTGAAAAAATTTACTCTGAAGATTGAATGATTACTTGAGGTAGAGGTTATCAATTTTCTCAATCCAAATCTCGGTTGTTTTATAGGTTTATGATCTCTGGAAAGAAATCTAGGTTTTTGATTACTCTCTGTTACTGTGTTTTGTCTAATTTTGATGGGTTTTAAATTGTTTTGTTACTTGTTTTGTAAGCTAAGATATTGGTCGTTGAGGTCAATTTTGTATAGATTCTGGTTCTTTATGTCTCTCAGGGTGGTTGGTTTCAGGAGGTATGGGAGATGGAGATGAGCAAAGTAAAGAGTTAGGAGGATTTTCGTCTTCGAGTCGTCGTTCTTCGGGTCCTAGTTCTGCAAATGCAGAAGCAAGAATGAAGTTTGCTTCTGTTGATGCTATAACAGAGTTAGTCTGGTCTCCTGGAAACGGTCTAAGCTTAAGATGTGCAGATATCAGTTTCACGGGAAAGGCAAAATTACTCTCTCCTAACTTCTTTGATATAGGACTAACCAATATGGCGATTCATTCGAATAGTACAAGTATCGAAGACCAAGAAGATGCGAGATTTCATCACATAGATGTCGAATTGAGAAACCGAGATCAAGTGAACCAAGAAAGTAATGAAATGAATAGACCATTGTCACCAAATTGATTATGATTTCGTTGAGTTTTCTTTTTGATAAAGATGAGTTCTTGTGTGTTTGCAGGGATTGGTGGTTCTGTTGAGGATAAGGTTGAAACCAATGATGATATAAAGAATGAAGTAGCAGAAAGTTCCAAAAGATTGTCAGGTGAGAAATGATTATATCAAGTTAAGAATGTTTGTTTGTTTTCCATTAATGACAACTATGGATTTGAGTTGGTTTCTTCGTATTTTGTGGTTGTTTTGGTTATCGAGTAGATAGTCCGAAAGCTATGAAAGGAGAAACCAGAGACTTGTTGGTGAATGAACAGTTGAGGATGGAAAGTGCTGGATCTCAAGAAGGACCGAGTAACCGTGGAAATAAAGAAGAAGGGGATAAGGCGAATAATAGAGTTGACCGTTTAGAATCAATGGATGAGAATAACCTCGCAACTCTTGCTGTTGTAGCATGTGAAGGCAAAGGGGAATATTTGCCGGAGGATGAGGCTGGACCTAGTGGTTCCTACAGGCGTCATGCCAAAGCGAAAGGGAAAGAAAAAGCTTTATCTGATGGAAACTTTGATGGTGATGATGAGGATGATGAGAGTTTTGGTAGTGTAGAAAGTTGCAATAGTGCGGGTTTGCTCTCAAGGGGAAAGAAAAGACCAGGCTTTGAGCAGCAGCTGATTTTTGGAAGCAAACGGCTCAAAACGTTAAATCAAGAATGTTTAGGGTCAACTTCAAAGCTTAAGCAAGATAGTTCCTTCATGAATTGGATATCAAACATGACAAAAGGAATCTGGAAAGGTAATGAAGAAGACGATTCTCCTTTTGCAGCTCTTACCACCACCTCAGATGTTAATGGTCATGGCCAAGTCAATTCGATCGTTGACCAACAACACTTGAATCCATGCAGTGTGAAGGAAAATAGTGGATTCAGAAACACTGGTTTCCAGTCTTTTTTCCAGTCTATATATTGTCCGAGGAAACGAAGTCAAGATGCCGTCGAGATGGATTTCCCGAATGATGCTAATGCTACTTCTTTGCAGGAACTTCCCTGGATTCCTGAACAATGTGACATTGCCAAAGGGGATGACTTGTCTTCATCTGGTAATGAGATTGGTCCAGTGGCTGAACCCAACAGTTCATCAGGAAAAGTTGGATTTAATCAGAGAAGCGAAACACTTTCGTCAGAGAACAAACGTGAGGACAAAGAACCAAACATCTCTTTGATGTCTCTTAGTAAGTCTAAGCCAAATGAAGAGCCAAAAATCTGCGGTGAAGCTGGTGGAAAGGTTAGTCCATGTTTAAACAACAGAAACTCTGGTCTTCAAAGTTTGTGGATAAGCCGGTTTTCTTCTAAAAATCCGTTCCTTCAGAAAAAGACCAGTGAAACGGCTAAAGAGGCCAATGCTTCAGCCTCAGACACAGCTAAAACCCGTGATTCGCAGAAAATGCTGGTAAATAATAATGTTGTAATACCCAGTATCAGCTTGGTAGATGGGCTCGATAAACCGAACACTGTCCTTCCCATAGTTTCGTCAATGAGAATAGAGTCTTCAGAAGCAATGGCTTCTTTGTTTGCTAGAAGATTAGAAGCCATGAAACACATCATACCCGCAGGTTCTTTAGCTGAGAATGCAGAGGAGGAACAGCCAAATCTAATCTGTTTTTACTGCGGTACAAAGGGTCATTGTTTACAGGATTGTTTGGAAGTAACTGATACTGAGCTCAGAGATCTAGTACAGAACATAAGTGCTCGGAATGGAAGAGAAGAAGCGTCAAGTCTATGCATTAGATGTTTTCAGCTAAGTCACTGGGCTGCAACATGCCCGAATGCTCCACTGTATAGTTCAGGAGCTGAAGATAGAGCTATGAAGCACACTTTAGCTTCTACCTCTGGCATGAAGCTGCACGTAAGTGGTTCCACAGACGTACCAAAGGCAGTCTTTGACGCCATTCAAGTGCTTCGCCTCAGCCGCACAGACGTTCTCAAGTAAGATCTAGGTCACACTTGCAAGACTGTTTCCCCTGTCACATTATGAAGCTTTAACATCTTTTGACATTTCATTTCAGATGGATAAACACCAAGAAGTCTGTATCGGGTCTCGAAGGGTTCTTCTTGCGGTTAAGGCTCGGGAAGTGGGAAGAAGGGCTTGGAGGAACAGGGTACTACGTAGCCCGAATAGATGGTTGGTACACTTAATTTCATATAAATCAATATTCAAAATCGTATATTTCTCGAATCTTAACAACTGAAAATATGTTGGTTTTAACCAGGGGACACAGAGGGACAAAGCTCAAGAAGACATTCAGAGAAAAGCTCAATCTCAGTTAAGGTTAAAGGGGTTACTTGCCTTGTTGAGTCTCAGTTTATCTCAAACCAAGACTTTCTTGAGGTATTATAATAGATTGACAAATAATGTAAAGTTTTGAAATTTGCCAAAACAAATCCCAATTTCAATTTGTTGTCTTTGTATGATTTATTTGAGCAGGAGGAGTTGAAGGCATGGTGGCGGAGCGTGGGGAAAAGTGCCGGAAGAAGCGGCTGCGAGGGCATCCCATCGGCAGAAGAACTTAGTCGGAAAATTCAGCAGAGAAAGATGTTAGGCTTTTAGGATGTTTATTCAAATAGATAATACTTGCTTGAGGAGCAAATGTTTTTGCTTAATAGGTTTTACGTTTACACGTGTATTTTTTAGTTTGGTTAAAAATGAGAGTGTAAATTTGTTGCTAGTGCAGAGGGCATCGAATGTCTCAAACCATGCAACAATCTAAAACTGGATGTCCAATCTATTTAGATTTGCGAGTTTTATGTTTATAGTCTATGTGGAGGATCCCAGGTATCATGGAAGAACAAAGTACATTGATATCAAGAGAGATATTAAGAGCAAGTGTTTGCTCATTTTCATGCGGTAGCTATGAGCCTATGAAGATGCAACCTTTGAATCAATTACTGTATTAAGGCAAGAAGTAGTTCAACAGATCAACAGATTAGAACTATTTGGAGTTAGCTTTTGGAAAATCAACATAGTCGGTCTATGGCGGTTAGCTACAGATACTAGAAGTTTGAAGAAGATTTAGAAGACTGAAGAGTTTTCTTTACATAGAAGAAAAGGAAACATGAAGACAAGTGACAACTTACTAATCCATAAAAAAAATGTTTATTCATATTAGTTTTTAGAATAGGAAATTGGCATGTTGTATGGTCTCGACCTATTTAGTATAAATAGGGTGCTTAGGCTTTAGAAAAGTTTCAGCACAAACAAGAGAAAGAATTCCTAACAATTAAGTTTTAGCTTAAGAGAAAAAGCAAGCTAAAGACTTAAAAGAGGGCTAAGGGGGTTAGAAATAATTCTTGTTTTTGATCGGGTTGTGATCAAAGAACAAGATATTGAGAGAATAAAAAATAGTTTAAGGAGAAACCTTGTAAACATATGTTCTATTAATCGAAAGAGTTTTTGAGAAACCTTGTCTTACATCGTGAACTAGTAGTTCATACAAGTTGATTGCGCATTCGTTTTCAACTGGTATCAGAGCGGTCACTTGTGAGGATTGCGTACAGGTGAGATCCAGTGGAAAAAATGGAGAGCTATCAGAAGTTACTAATTTCAGATTCAGAACAAGAACGAGATGTTGATCTTGCAGAAAGTTACAAAGAAATAAGAGAAATATTGATTAACATCGGAAACGAAAACCAAGACTTGGTAAAAGAAAAGACACGTCTTGAAGCACTTGTTAAGTTACTAGAGAATGAAAAGAAGATTAGTAAGGAGAGTGTAAGTCTAATTAAAGAGAAACTGAATTTATCTTCTAAAGCAGACAATTTAGAGAAAGAACTAATAGCTGAAAGGAAGATATCTAGAGGACTACAGGCTGAACTTGATCAACAACATCGGAAAATTCACATGTTTGTCGGGATCAAACAATTTGATAAAATTCTAAGTTACAGATGAACATAAATTATGTTGATATGTGTTTTATTTGTAATTTTTTCGTCTTTTTCAAGAAAAGAAAAATATAGATATATTTAAGTTACAAAACTGATAGCTATTAAACCATGTATTTAAATATAATCATTACGTAAACGTGTCGTGATTTCATGAATTACAGTTTTGCCACATGTTAAGCTTGCTAAGAATGTTAAAACTTTTATAAAATAACATTAACCAATTTTTTTTCTTTTTTTTTTTTTTGCGGCAGGATAGAGAACTTTAATATATACTTTTGAATATTTTAGCAACAAAAAATTAACAAAACTAGTTTTTTTACACAACTGCTTTACACAAGAAAATAAGAAAAAGATACATAGTAACAACTTCTACCAAGTAAGCAATAGAAACAACAATTAATGAGAGACGATTTTGGTATTAAATGAGTTGTCTAAACACATCAACGAAAAACACACAACAGCAGAAGCAGAAGATGATTGTTCTTTTCTCTTTGATCAGAGATGATGTTACAGTTTTGTAGAGAGACACCATTTTTACTGGTGTTAAACTTATTTTTACGTGTTACAATTAGAATGTTCTAAATTTTCACTAGTAAAAAGGTTCTAAATTTGTCTTCACTCTACCATGATGTTTTGATCCTTCAGTACCAAAAAAACTCCAGTCGGTTTAGGAAACCCGAAGTAGCAGTGGTAAGTATTCGAAGGTCTTTTATTTTATGTTTATTTTGATTGATTGTTAATAGAATTGCTTTTATGTTTTCAGATGGGCAATGAGTCTCTTTTCATTGTGCAAAAAGAGAAGCCCAAAACATCGTGTGTTGGTTGCCTTCGAAGGAAGAATGATTTCATTGATGACACATTTAACTTTTTGTTTGATGATGTGAACATCTGATATCTTGCTTTTGTTTATCCAGAGCTCTTTGTATACGAAGTGAACCTCAAAACTAGCTTCTCCTCTTTCTGTTGCATCATTCTTTGAATAATTTCTCGATACACATAACGCAACACACAATAGTGACAAAGATGAGACATTTGAACAAGTGTGTTACATGATTCTGATTATATATTGTTATCTAGCTATTTTTTTTTAAATCAATAAAATGTATGGTTTATTTTCTTCTGGCTTTATTTTCCATATATAAGGGATGGGTCATGGGTCCGGATAAAATAAAATAAAATGTTTCTAGGGTTAGGCGGCGTCACCTATTTATTTGGTGTTTAATTTAAGTTGTTTGTCTTTTGCGCAGACACTCTTTTGTTTTGAGGCTTTGTCGATTTTTAGGGTTTCATCAATCCAACAATGGTTAGTTCCTCGATCTCTGAATTTTGTTATCGAGATTAGGTTTTCGAACATTATTGTGGTTGTAATTATCTCCCCATGTGAATCTATAGGCGGATGTGGAACCAGAAGTTGCTGCGGCTGGAATTGTGAAAAAGAGAACGTTCAAGAAGTTTTCTTTCAGAGGAGTTGATCTCGATGCGCTTCTCGACATGTCCACCGATGATCTTGTCAAGCATTTCAGTGCTCGTGTTCGCAGAAGGTTTCTTTCTTTGAACCAAGAAAAAGCTTTTGTCTCTTGGTTCTGTGAGACTTATGTGTTTTGTTATCTTTGAAGGTTCTCTAGAGGATTGACCAGGAAACCTATGGCTTTGATCAAGAAATTGCGCAAAGCGGTAAAAACCCTTATTCTCTCATCACTAATTAGATCTTTGTTGAAACATATATAAACAATTGTTCAAATCTAGCTAGGAATTGTGTATCTTCTGAATAGAGAGATTTTGATGATCAATGTATGTTTTTTTTTTTTCTTTTGCTTATGTGATGATTGCTGAATTATTGCTTAGATCAAGATCATCAGCCTATTTTCGCACGATAATATTATATTTATATTTCCATCTCTACGCATATATACATTCTTCCCTATGTAATTTTGCGTTTGATCTTTGCGAGGAAATGGCTTTAATTAAACACTAAAGATTATGAGTTTAGATTACTCAAATCTCTTGTGTGAGATTATGCGGTTGTGTCTTTGGTTAATAATTCATATAATTCATACCCCATTTTTGTGCTAATGTCGTTATTGTATAATCCATCTATTACAATTTTGTGTTTGTCCTTCGCAATCAAATGGTTTTATATATCGAAAGATTAAATGATTTTTGTGTCTTTGAGCAGAAAATAGAGGCACCAGCTGGTGAGAAGCCAGCAGCAGTGAGAACACACTTGAGGAACATGATCATTGTTCCTGAAATGATTGGAAGTATCATTGGTGTGTACAACGGAAAGACTTTTAACCAAGTCGAGATCAAACCGGAGATGATTGGTCATTACTTGGCTGAGTTCTCAATCTCATACAAACCGGTTAAGCACGGTAGGCCTGGTGTTGGTGCTACCAATTCCTCCAGGTTTATCCCTCTCAAGTGAAGAAGCTACTTATCTCCAAATCTGTCTTCTTTAGATGAGTTTTATCTCCTTTTTAAGTTTTAATTTTCGAACTTATCGTTATTATTGTTGATGACTTTCTATTTAATACCACCAAGGGGTTTTAGTACTCTATTAAATTATTGATTTTGCTTCTCATACATTTTACTAATTTCTAAGTTTTCTTATTTCTTTTTTTTTTTATTTCTTCTATTTCTCGTTTATGTAATTTTAAAGCGGATTTTTTAGCTCGATATTTTTTTTTACTGTTTTTTGAAATCACATTTGTAATCTCTTTTCTTCCAAATTGGGCAAACAATCATGGAGTTATTTTAAAATAATGTGTGGTTGATTAAAAAAAAATAGTTGATAATAAATATTTAATAAGTTTTGGTTCAAGCTAAAAGGGGCTGTTTTCTATTTGGTTCTTAATTTCTCGTTTTGACTCAGTAGGTAAAGTTTATTATCTATTTTTGTATTTTTCTATGACAAATCTATGGTCTTCTTTGACGATTTCATAAGTAATAAATAATGGACATCATGGTGAACAAGTGTATGCTAATAATAATATAGTTCTCAATTATTAAGACTGTATCACACTAGACACTAGTAGTACCGACCTTAACACTAATATATTAATAAGTTGAAGAGAAACATAATATTGTTTAAAAACCCCTATGTTTTTAAAGTGAATAGCCAAATTATAGAACTTTCCATTTTAGATTTTTTAAATTAACTTTAATTGGGATAGTTTTTATGCTGGTTATAATTAAATTTTATGTTATTTTATTGATAAAATGCATCACATATTCACCAAATTATCTATCACACAATTTGCCAATTTTTGCACTACATATGGTTATATATTTGATAAATTTTATATTATATTTATTAATTACTTTTTTTAAAATATTTTTTAAACTTCAAAAGTAGTGCCCGATTTTTCTTAATGTGTGTCAATAAAGCATTTGCCCAATTAATTTTTAATATCTACAAATTTAAATACAAAAGAAAATTAATGGCAAAAAGTCAACACAATTAGTCTTTGTAACAGGAAGCTTCTGGGAGAAAGAGAAGTTTCCATTCATTTTCCTGGAGTCTTCTCTCCACTCTCTTTTCAACCTCTTCTCCTCTAATCTGCCAAAAAATTAACTTTAAATTTAATATCATCACACTAATACATATCTAATCTAACCACTCCTTAAAACACCCTTTACTGAAAAACACAAAACTATCTACCACTTTTTTTGTTTTTGTTACTAACACAAAACAATCTACCTATATGTACTTGTCATAACCAAAACCGGATTAAGCCAAGTCGAATCGAATTGAATATGTACCTGAGTCTCTATGTTCATGGTCGCAGAAAACTCTTGAGGAGAGAAATTGGCATGGACTGTTTTGAGTTTTGTTCCCATTGATTTAAGATAATGAAGAACTTCAAGCATAGAATCGAGTCCAGACAAAGGTTCTTGTAGATTAAACCTAACCTTTGTTTCACTCATTTCATCACAATCATCCTTTGTTAATTTTTCCTCAATCACTTTAATTCTTTTCTCTAGTTCTTTCTTTAATCTTTGTAATTTCCCAATCTCATCCACGGCCTTTTCGACAATCGAATTTTTGTCATTCTGAAAAAATATATGCATATATTTTGTGAGCCCTTTCTGCATTGTGAAATTTTGGACCTAACAAGTATTCAACTACTAACCGAACCCTACTTAAGTAAATTTCATATTTTTGTTAGATCTACTACGATTTTCTTACCAAGTCATTAAGAAATTAATATAAAGTTTGATTTGAATTTAATTAACACAATGAATTAATGTACCTTAGTGGCATATGGTAGTAGAGAGTGGAGAGCTAAGTAACTCTGTTTTTGTTTCTCTCTTCTCGTTCTCTCTTTCAACATATGTCGCCGGCATCTTTCCTTCTCCGGCGCCACCGTATTTTTCTTCTCCTCCCAATTCTTTCTTAGAAGATTCACCATTCTCTTCTTCACGTTCACCTTCGATGAAGTTATCCCCGGCGACATCAACATATGTTCTGTGCCCTTCACGTATGACCTAAAGGCGCTTCTGTTTGGCACACTGACGCTTTTGTCATCGTTACCGGAGATGTCTCCGAGCAGATCCCAGAAGTTGTCGTCTTCTTGACAAGCCAAATCTAGAAAGAAGTTATCCATCTTTCTCTCTTAGTGTGTTTGACAATCTTGAGTTGTGATTTTGATGTTGTCTCTCGTTTGGGTGACTATATATCTATTATGATTTAATCACGTGGGGATTTGTTGAATTAGCACACGTGAAACATATTGAGAACGTGGTCAGTGAATAGTTTTCTTACCTTCTTGGTAATATTAAGTGACGTATGTTGGAGAAAACTAGAGACAGTCAAATGATGTATGAAAGGTGAAACTAGAGAAAGTCAAGTGACGTATTTTTGCAATAAAAAGTAAACATTATGTGACGCGTAATGTTGCACCAAGAATAATAAAATGTGACGCGTAAAAGCTATAACTATTATTTCTCCTTTTTTTTTCCAAAACATTTTTCGTTTTATTGAAGTTAAAGTACAGAATCTCTTTTAATGAGTTGAAAAAACACAAGACCGTGGAGAAAGAAAAAAAAAGTCTATTATGTGGTTAACAAGTTTATAAAATTTAATAATAGGGAAAATCCGAGATAAAAATCTCTAAGTTGAAACATTATTTTAACTAAAACCTCCTATCTTTTTTAGTTTTTATATGAAATCTCTAAATTGAAATATTTTTTTAACTAAAGCCTCTAATTTTTTTTGTTTTCATTTATAAATTTCAACTAATTAACTTTGCCTAAATAAACTTTGGAATCGTCAAATTTGAACTCGAAAAATGGTTTATTGGTGAACAATAATTCCGTTTGGAACAATAAATGATCGTTCATGACATAGTTTTCTCTGTTCAGGCCATGAATGGATGCTGCTTTCTAATTCAATTTTTGGATTTGGTTTTTAGTTTTTGGATTTTAGATTTTAGTATTAGATTTTGCTATTATATTTTTGTTTTAAAAAAACAAAAATTGGATTTCTGTTTTTTAGAAATATAAGGTAGATAAAATATAAACTAGTTTTCTTAAAGTATAAGAGAATTAAAAATCTAAAATCTTGAATGGGAGATTATATGTAACACGCCGGTTTCAGGAATATGGTGGTGCATGCGGAGAGGTTTATAAGAATTGATTTGACCATCTATGTCACCAAAGTGCACTTATCTTTTCGGTCAACTGTCCCAAGAGAACTCCACAGTTAAGCGTGCTTGGGCTGGAATAGTTTAAGGATGGGTGACCTTCCGGAAAATGATTGTCGGAACTGTATGAGTGAGGACAAAACACAGAAAAAGATCATGTGGTGATTTGTAGGATCAGTAAACAAGTCTTTAAAGCCTCCCGAACGTAGCGGACCGACCGTCGAAATATGGTAGATCCACGGGCCGAAAGAGGACTTGGGGTCCATTAAAAAAGATGGCGGTCAGGGCGTTACATTATATATAGCTCGGAGATACCCCAAAGTGTTTTCCTAAATTCTAGAGAAATCAAAATTTTTAAAACTTGGTATGACAATGAGTTTTTAACAACATACGATCGAAAACACATTTTTTATGGTGTAATAATAAGTTTATCAACCAAAGGTCGATTAGTTGACTAGAATGTATCCTAAACTAATTTAAGAAATCACAAAATCGAATGACACAACTGGTACGAGTAAATTGTTAAAGATTAGTCCGAGCTTAAAGGGATATATTGAGTCCCCACTCATAACTTGTTACCAAAAGGAAATTCTTCGTCTATTATTTGTAAGTTGATCATGTGTGGCATTAGTTTTTTATTCGTCTATTATTGTAAGTTGATCATGTGTGGCATTAGTGTATGTGTGGCATTAGTTTATTATTCTAAGTTTAGTCTCTGAGATTTTTCTTATGACGTGTCCCAACTCTTGGGTAGGAAATTTCCTCGTGTGAACGACTTGACTAAAACAAATTGACCAACTTCGATTACTTTTATATTCTGATAACAGATATTATCTTTACTACACTCAGATTATTAGATAATTGACCACTTCGATTCTTTTTTAATTTTTCTTTCACACACTACCAACTTCGATTCTAGAAAACGAATTTCTGATACTCAATTTAATGGGCTTTATAATATGGGCTTTGGGCTTTCTTTACCTCTCATAAATCAGTGGTTATTAATATTATAGTGGATTATGAGCTTTTAGTTTGTGTAGGTTCATCTAAAATTTGTGGATTTATTAGGTTTTTCTTTTTCTTGATTCTTCTTTGTGCATCATCGATGTGTGATGCCTTAACCCCTCTGAAGCCATTCTAATTTTCTTTCGGTAACTAGCCGTGTAAGTGAAATTGTGAATGGAACGGTACAACGATGTGTCATGGCATGTTCTACTGTTTGCACCAAGGGCTCTAAAACCGCAAGTCAAACAGCTTAATCAAGCATATCCACGATCTACGTGTTGTGTTTCCAATAATTGTTGTGTATGTGCCAAAAATGCTAAACTCTCGTGCTACTATATTTAGTAAGTTGAGAGAAAAAAATACCCATACCAATATTTCCTGGTTTTAACATGTATAACCGGTAACTTTCATGTACATAGTAATGTAAGAAAATCGAAGATGCAAAGACCTATTTACATCAAATGATTCTACATATACTCAGTTTTTCTTTTTCAAGTAAAGAGTCAAAATTCAAAGCATAAACTTCAGTTTTTCATCGAGCTTCGGCTTCACTCTATTATCCTAATCATCTCCTGCAATAAGGACCCCCACAGGTTCATAACCATGCTCAAACCAAACATCTTATATAAACTTTTGCAAAATCATGTCTTTTCTTTGTTTTTTAACCTTTCTTTTGGCAGCAAGACTCTGGCTTTCCTTTTCTTTCTTTTCATGGACGCATTGACCGCACCAGTCTCGGAATTCCTTCTCATAAGTTTGCATCTCCCTAAACAAAGAGCTGCAGATGGAAAAGCAGAAGTTCAATTGTGATCTGAAATCCTGAGGCAAGCTTCATGATTGCTTACTTTCTGCACCAAAGAATCATATTGGCCCGACGACCAGATATTGTGGCTGCTCTGGCACCATGGACGTGGTAGCCACGGTGTAGTATAGCTTGACCCGGTATATGACAGTAATCAAAACGTTCCTGCGTCAGTGAGAAATAATTGGTTCCTTTATAACTTAACCATTTTGCCATTTACTGAATATAGGAATGTAACAGGACCAAAAAAGGTACTCAAAAGGACTCACATACCTCTGGCTTTGGATCTATATCCATATGTTTCTTGCATCGTGTCCCTTCGAAAAATATTTCCCCTCCCTCACCTTGTTTACTTAAGCAAACATTCAATGTTATTTCTGAATCTTCCACATGTAAGCCTGCAGATTTAGAAGATCACTACTTATACTAAACCAGTTAAATGTTTGCTATTGAAGAATTCACTCTGGTTTTCTATCAGAAAATCAAAGGGAATCACCTAATTCAGCATCCCTATCTTCACCATTTTCAATAAAAAATCCACGTTGAAAGTCAAACATTGCTCCACACTCTTTAGGGAAGAATACTGCAAAACAACAGAGTGAATGAAGTTAATAAAAGTCTTTCTAATGGGTTTAAGTAAAATATATCCTTGCCTTTGCAAATAGGAAAGATAAAATCCTCCATGAGTTGCTTAAGCATGATATCCAGGCCAAAGTCGTCAAGCACAACACCGAATTTACTCATTTTGTTTGGTCTCATGATCTTCAACTTTGTCTCATGAGCCCACTTTCTGAAATTCTCTACCTGATTAATCAAAACAGTAGCAAATGAACAAAAGTAAACAAAGAGGTAAGAGCACCACAGAGAATAAGTGACAAGTTAATATTACCTCAGCTAGCAATTTCTCAAAGAAGTCAGGCTGAAACATTTCAAAGACGAAAACACCAGGAAACGGTTCAGAAATGATACGTCTGAAGCTTTCCTCAGTGTTTTCGCTGATCGCCTTCCGGAAAGTAGGAAGCAAAAACGATTCGGGATCAAGTTTATACAACTCCCTGAAACGTGGCTGCAGAAAAAGGAAACATTTCAAACTATTGCATCAAGAAAACAAAATAAGAGACGAGCAAAAGCTCCTCACCTGATAATTGGATATTATCCTCTCCCTATAGTTCTTGTACCGTTTAGCCTGGAACATTAAACAGACATGAAACTATTCTATGTGTTCACAAGAAAATCATCATCGTAATTTCAAGAAACTAACAAGAATCAATTCCGATTTCAATTTTCACAGATTGGGATCAAAAAGAGAGAAATTAGAAATTACTTTGGAACACTTTTTGCGGGAAATGTACTTGCGCAAAATGTCTGACATGAATTTAGCCTTCTCTTCTCTGTCCGCTGTGAGCTTATCCATCGGTAAGTACTTCTCTAGCGATCTTAATGCGGAAGAGGTAAATTCCAGTTCCAGATCTTCGTAGTTATCAGAAATGTGATCGTTGTTAGGAAGAAGACTCAGCCTCGGGATAGGCATCTCTGTTGTCGCCGCCGCAGTAGTAATCGGTGGTTGATTATCTCCGCCTCCAACAGTTCCGTCACCGTCCACCGTCATCTCTTGCCGATCGCTTCAAGGAAAGATCAAAATCGAAGTTTCTTTAACCTTTCTCGATTTGGAGATTCTGGAATTTGGGGTTTCCGTTGAAGTTTCACTAATTTCCCACCGAGAAAATTTATTGGCTTTTTGTGTTATTGGCGCGTGTCGAACACGCGATATGGTGCTGTGGATTCTCGGCCCATTATACGGCCCAAAAAAGCTTTGAACCGGTTATTTAAAATTATCGGTACTTTCCGGTTGAGATCCCTTTTCATATTTCCCGGTTACTAGCGACCACGATCGTTTGGAAAATATTTTTTGATTTTTTTTTATCGCATTGCACAATTACAGTAGTGTTCACAAAGATCAAAACCTTTTTGTATAATAAATCAGGTCCAAACCAAATCATACATTTCGAATTTCCATTTCAATCTAAAAGGATTCAGAAAACCTAACTATAACAGGTATAGATGATGACTAAAATACCAATATCAATTGTTCGTATAACCCAATTAGTCAAAACCATTACCTGTACCGATTCAAAACCGAACCAATGTTTGCTGTCACATTTCTCACCCTTTTACTGCCAGAGATTGCAAATCTTCTAGGAAATCTTGAAGACTCAAATCATCAGTGAGAACAATATCTGAACCACCGGTATGATCTGTTTTCTGAGTTACAGAAGGATTGAGCTTGGCAAGAAGGAACCGAGCTTGACTACCGTGCTGGTCACACCGTACAATCCGTGGCATTGGAATCCTATCAGTCACTAACTGCGCCGCATCGATTTCAGGTGCTTCCAGAAGGTTCCGGAAAGTCTCGTGGCTTGGGTCTTTATGATACTCGAGTTTCCTCCATTGGGCGATTTTTGATCCATGGTGGATAACCACGTAGAAGTATGAATCGAATAGCAAAATTACGTCTGGAGTCACTGACCGGATATCGAGGAGGACTGGAACTGGCGGTCCGTCGAATGAATACCGGAGAAGCGTTGGTTGAATCATGATGATCGAGTTTACCACTCCTTCCCGGTTTAACATTAACCGGAAAAAACCGGTTTCATCGGGGGAATTGTTGAAGACGTCAAGAAACTGTGATCTCCTCAGATAGAACATGAATTGAGGATAAAGCGAGAAATTTGGAGTCAACCTGAAAGAAGATGGATCTTCTTGAATATAATCTCCAAACCGTGAAGCAAAGCGGATTAAGCCGTCATCTAACCATCGAATAACGTCTCTCGCGTAACACTCCTCTGCTCGGCTAATCGCAAGCCGCGCCATAACCGAAGCAGCTGTTTCTTGATCGAATCCCGACGAGATTTCGGGAGATTTTCCAGCAACCCATCTTCTAGCAACCGTTGTAACCCGTTTCCTCATTCCTCCATTTCCATACCGATACCGAGTAATGAACTGAATGAAGAACGCAGAACCAGCCTGCGGTTTTCGATTCTGTTCGTTGCTCACATGAAAGAAGAAGGAAACACATGTCTTATTCGTGACAGTGCTCGTTTTCCACATATATGTTCCGCCTTCACCGATCTCTGTTTCACTCACTATATCGTTCTTCTGTCTTAGCGACACAACCGGACCGAGAGCACCACAGATTCTCATATCCTTGGTCGTCACAACTTCTAAAGAGACATCAAAGTACATATTCAAGTTCCCATCTGCATCACGGCTGAATATATGTCTGAGACATTTTTTGAATTGCTCGGATTCAAATGTCTCTCCCAGTAAGAGAAATCCACCAGACATTTCCACTGCGTACCTCAGTTCTGCTGCTCCAACTTGGTCAAGAGAGCAAGCAAACACATCGAGAACAATGGAGGAATCGCAGAGCCTCTTTGCTAGTTTCTTGTAAAACCCGCAAGATTTATCGTAATAAGACACTTGACCAGTGATAATATCTCTGTGAGTTCTGATCGGATTACTTAAATCAGAGTCCACGATGATCCCAGGGCCTCTGGTAGCAGGTCCTGATGTGAAAACCATAATCCGAGAACCTGTTGTTATAGAACATCCCTCGAGCAGTCCCAATGCTGTTGAGATCGCAGCACCGGTTGACCTATGAGGCCGATGACCTGGTTTAACATCAACCAAGGGAACAATTTCTTCAAACGCACATGTTAAGTTAAACTCACATTCCGCCAACGGAAGTAAGAAACTTTGCTTCCGAATCCCTGACATCTTTCCATGATGAACCTTCTTCGAATATCCAAGTCCCAGAAATTGTTGTATCTGATGAATTTTTTTCCATTAAAAAAGAAAGAAACTTTGTCAAATTTAATACAGCTAAGAAGAACATTCTATTGACACATGAAGCATACGAAGATAACGAAGCCTAGAAAGAGTACTTGTTTAACGCATAGAGCTAAATCACAACAATCAACCAACAACACATGAACAATGCAACACACTTATAATCATCAAACTATATGATTTAACACTACTCATAAGGATAGAACACAATCCTCAAAATGAACACAAAGGAACTGATTCTAAAGCATTTACATTCTCCTATCGAATCTAACTAAATCAAATCCCACCATTTGTGCAAGAAATGTTAAGCAGAGTTCCAAATCTCAAGGGTTTTTACCTGGTCTGGAGAAAGATCACGCTCACCATGAAAGACAACAACTTTAGAGCATTCAGAGAAACCCAAATCATAAACCCTAACCATAGAATCAAAAGTAATCAAAGCCACCAAACAATTCTCAGGCAACTGCTCAATAACAAACAAAAGCTCACTTCTCACAGCTCTTAACTCATCCTCTACCATAGATGCATCAACAACAAACACAAACGCAGGTCCAAGCTCACTAATCACACCACCACCACCACCTCCAACAGTAGAAGCAAGAGACGAAAATGACGAATTCGAAGACATTGATCTAATCCCTTGGTTAAACCCATTACTCCAACCCCCAGCAGCAGTCGGAGTCGTAGTAGCCGAACCCGATTTACGCAACTGTGGCGGAGAGTATTCAACAGCGCTATAAGTCGGAAAAAGCTCCGCCGGGAGATTAGTTTCAGTGATTCCAGAATAAGAACGAGGGAAAAGGTTTTTGTGAAAGCAAAAGGGACAAGACCATATTCGAGATTGATAATCAACACGAGCGTAAGGGTTTAACACAGCTCCACAACGAGAACAAATCAGTGGATCATAAGGAATCGTTGGAAGCTCAGAGAATTGCATCAATGGAGTATACATGATACTTAATGGAACAACGAGAGATTCGCAATCGGATTTTGTAGTTGGCCATGAGTTCCATGACCATCTTAAACCTTCGATCGCTTCTAGCTCTAAGAAATCCATAACTAGATCTTCGATTTCACTGATTGTGGATTTTCAAATCCGTTTTCATGGATCTGAAAGTGGTGATGAGGATTCTCAGATCAAGTTTGTTTTTGGTTTCTCAGATAAGTGAAGGGAAATCGGAGTAAAGGGTTTCACCGGAGTTTGTAGAATTTTTTCCGGCCGGCGAAGAATCAGAAAACATTCTTTGATTCTTCATCTCTTAAAAAGATATTACTTATCATTTTTATAAACATATTTTTTATTTCAGGAAAATTGCAAACAAGACCTCGAACGTTTGATTGTTTGTAAATCTACTCTCTTTCTTAAAAAAAAAATTATAGACAGTTCTTTTTTTTTTTTTTTTTTTTGTCGCCTAAACGATTCCATTTGTGGAAGCCCCCTTGTCCCATTGGTTGACCAAGGGTTAATTAATGCTTCTACACCAAGAGGTCTGGGGTTCGAGTTCCAGATATTGCGATTTATTAATAAATTTGCAGATTAAAAGGAGGCAAGTGTGCAGGAGATCTCCAGCGAAGTACAATTATAGCCGTTAGCCAGGATTCTACGCAGAGAGAGAAGTGTCGTTAGGTCGTGGATCATTGAAGGTGTCCGTCAAGAGCATGGAGAAGGAAGTGTCGTCTGTCGTGGATCTAATAAGGGTCGGAAGGAATTGTCCGTTGTAGAATCGTCTATGTAACAGTTCTCATAATTTGCAATAAATAATAAATCTAGACGTCAAAAAAAAAAAACGATTCCATTAAAAGCCAAAAGGCAAGTACGGCCCAGTAGGGAAATACAAGCAGAATATAAGAGTCCAATCTAAATCATAATTAAAACTAACAGATAAATATAATTTAGAGATAATTAGGTGTAAAATAGAACTTTTAATCTAAATTAAGTTTTTTACAAATCATTTTTAAGCTCAAAAAACATAAATATTTTGCCCATGATTCTTCCAAAAATAATTTCACTCGCTTATCTCTTCAATTTCATATCTCTCTCTCTTTCTCTGAGCTCCATAAATCTCATCTATCTCTTTCTTCTTCCATTTTTAACGTTGATAGCTTTTTTGTTGTTGATTCTTCTTATTTCTTTGTTTTTTTCGTCAAAAACATATTTATATGAGATCCGGTAAGAATCTGCGATGGATCAACAATGACAACGTGCTTGCGGTGGTGTTGTGGCGAAACTTTGTTCACAATCGGCGGTGATTCAACGACAAATCTGGAGTGGTGGTTCAACGACGGATCTAAAGTGGTGGTTCAACGGTGGTAACCCGCTTATTATGGTGGGCTTTAAGTTTTTGTGTATACATATAGTTAAGTTATTGTAACATAGATATGTATTATATATATATATATATGCTGTTTATATCACTAATTTAGCTGTAATATATGTTTGTATCGTATATACAATTGTGTTTGTATGTGTAAAAATGTTAATAACGCTCTATATATATTTACAAGTATACATATGTTAATAAAGTTATAAATGTAACGAATATGTTGGGTTAATAACTCTTTCTATATATATTTTACATGTATATATATGTTAATAGAGTTCTATATATGTATTTACATCAATACAAATGTTAATAAGTATAACACCCTATGTATCATGTAATATATGTATGTAATGATATGTTTACATCTATAAAAATGTGAATAACGCTATAGTTACGTGTTTATATGTATATAATTGCTAATTACACTTTATGTATATGTATTTATATGTACACATAAACTCAATGATTAATATTATAATTGTCGATGTGTTTTCTATCTTACCTCTAGTAATTTCATCTCGCAGCATTAAATGTTTACGCCTAAGAAGTCAATCACATTTAATATACTCCTCCTTAAGTCAACAAATCAACCTACGCGCATCCTATTGGTTTTTTTGTAATATAATCAAACTTTAGTTGCCATTGTTGAATGTTTTGGTCCTTCCTCAACACTTAAACTGTTTGTCTCTGGCTAATTATTTTTCCTATTTTTACCACTGCACAAAGTGTCTCTATAATTTACGAACATGATTTAGCGAGTGACACATGTAGAAGACGTGTTCTTCTCAACCCACACACATCAATCAGCCATAGAGCAATAGATATCCTCTTCCATTTTACCGATCTCCAGTCCAATCAAAAGTAGCATAGAAATTTGTCGAATTTAAATGAAAATTGCTTCAACATTTCTTCGGAAAGCGCCAACGTCGGGGAAGCTCCACCACCAGTTGCACCCAATTTGATATAGACTTGAATCCATCTTTGTTCATGCATCTTCAGCAAAAGGAGAGTGACGAAGATATTACTCCTCGAATAATTAGAGAAACAAAGAGAATTTGGAAGAAAGCGGAGACATCGATGGTCAAAGGCAAGGATGGAAAGAGATCGAATCTCGCTATAAGCGAAAGAGAACCGGACTTAGCCGGTAGCAGATCCGATTGAAATTGGAAAATAAAGCTGATACTAAACTCTCCGATTGTTATCGGGAGAGTAAATTATCTCTCTCTCTCTAAAATATATGAGAGCGTTAAGAGAGAGAAGCTTCGACTATATATATTATAGATTATAAATTATAGACAATCATCTCATAGCTACTCCCTCCGTTTCAAAAGCTACTCGTTAGAAAAAAAATTATAGGGCGAATAAATGAAAAAAGGTAATTAAAGAACTCGTTACTACTCTCTACGAATGTCTCCAAATATAAAGATAAAGTTGGCCAATCTATTAATATAAATATCTTTAGTAAGTTAGAACAGTTAGTTGCAAATGTCACAATCATCGTCTGTTGGTCTATCATACGATGCATGGCTTAAATGAGTGCTTCTAATTTGGGATGTAGCTGAGAGAAGCAGTTAGAACATGTTAGATGGAATCGGTCCTACAAGATTATTGTTTGCGAGATTCCTACATGGTAAAATTACATCAACAAGCTTATCATATATAATTAAAATTAAAGCATACTCAAGGATAAAAACTCACAGTTAGAACAATTGCTAGCTTCCCAAGCTCAGGTGGGATGGTTCCCATTAGTTCATTATCATTTAGTTTGCTGTGAAATGATAAGCATACGTTTTGAGTAGAACAGATATTGGAGTTCAAGTTTTAATCTTACAAATATGTGAGTTGTGACATATTGCCAAGCTCATGTGGGATTGGTCTGGTGAGCTTGTAGGCATGAAGATACCTATTTTGATGAAGAACATAGTATCCGTATATATGAAGATTTGAATGTACATATGACACATAGTGAGAAGAAGCAAGAGACTCACAGTTTTCTAGTAAATGAGAGATTCCAGAATCTTGATTAAATCAATCTGATTCGACATGTCTAATATTATAAAATTAGTGGTGTTAACAAACTAATAAAATGAACATTACTTAATCTCTGTTGTAGTGCCGTGTTTTTTGATATTTTATATTTTTATTAATATCGATTCAAACTCATCCCGCCATATAACTCGTTATGCCATATAATCCGTCCCATGTTATTTAAAATTTTTATATGTTTAAATATTCATAATATTTTAAAAAATTTATTAAGTAGAAATTTATCAATAATAATATTTAAAACTTTTTAAAGATTCACCATAAAGTGAGTTGGCAATTACAAAAGGAACAAACGAATAAAAATAGAATTAACTTTATGTTTTATATGAGATTCAAAGCAATCAAAAAAAGAAGTGAAACAAATATGATAGAAAAATCATAATTTTAAATTTTAAATCTTCTAAAAATTTATATTATTATTTGTGGAACATTATATGGATATTTCTAATTTTATAATTAATGTTAAAATCTTTTAATTGTGTTTGGTTATATGGATTATAGAGAATTAGTTGTAAGAGTTGTTTGGATACATGAATATAAGTATTTTTCTATTACATATATATCCTTATCCTATACTATTATTTGGGGAGTACACTTTATAAGAAACCCTTAACTAACCTTCTCTTTTGTAAAAAATTACATGAGAATGCCATTACAAAAAGCTTATTTTAGAACAAATTTAATTCAATTTATTAAGGATAAACAAGTAAAATACTAATTTATGTTATTTAATTAATTTAATTAAATTATAAAACGAAAATCTGTTATTTTTTTTTAAATGACCAATCAAAATGAACATATAAGATTTGATATCTAATTTACTATATTAATTTGTTATTAATTATTAATCTTCACCTCTCATCTTTATATGATTATATTTATTTGAAACAAATAAATCATCATATCATCTACATAATAAAAAAAAAAGTAATTTTTTTCTGCATATGCCAAAATTTGAATTTTTAAAAACGCATAAAAATTGTTCAATCTATAAAGGAAACAATTAAACGGGTCAAAAATTCAGACTTGAGTAATATATTTCTTTTACATAAAAATAAATTCAACAAAAATTCCGACTGAGCAACGGGTCAGAATTTGAATATTTATATTCGATTTCATACATTTATTTTTTTGAAATGTATAATTTTATATACTATGTTAAAAATTTAAATATTTTAATTTGCAACATTTAAAATAAGTTTTACTTGATATTTTTAGAGAATATCATCAATACTTAATAGTTCAAAAAGTTAAAAATTATAAATACTCTAATTTGATTATTTTTAAAAATATTTATAATAGATAGCGTGTTAAATATAATATATTATATAATGAAATGAGTTTTGATACTTATAACTATTTGAATAATTATATTTAATTTCAGATAATTTGTTTTTTGAAATTCATAATTTTATAAACTACAAAAAAAATTTTAAAATATTTTAATTTGGAATATTTAAAAATAGTGTAAAACATTTAAATATGGTTTGACACCTCTAAATATTTGAAAATTTGATTCCGCAAGCAATTTTAGAATTAACGAATAATAGATTGTGCACGCAATATTTTAAAATGAAATTTTGAAATTCTAAAATAAAAATATAAAATCCACGCACTGATTGATTTTGGTATTATTATATACTAAATATATGTTTATAACATATTCGATTATGCGAATAATTGGTAAATTCCGTAATTATAAATCTCAAACAAATTCTGTAATTAGATTAGCTCAAACAAATCTCTATTTCAACAACCAAAGAATTATAAATTGAAAAAGAATTTTCTAAATTAATTCAAAATAATAGCTAATTTTCTTAATTAATTCAAAATAATCTATCTTTTATATGCGATTCATTTATGATATTTTAATTTTTGATCTAACAGAAATATATGCAATCCTATTTTGTGGTTGTTAACATAAATTAACTCACTGTTCAAAAAATATTACTTTTTAAAAAATAAAATTATTTTCTGTTTTCATATCTTTAAAAAAAAATTATCCACAATTGAGTATTATAGAAAAAAATCTATATTTATTCTAATATTATATATAGGGACTGACAAAAAAATTAATATTTTTTACTTACTATTATAATATATTAAAACTTAGTTCTAATATATATAATATATAAATTTTATAATAAATAAAATTTAACCCGTACTTTAGTACGGGTGATGATCTAGTATGTGTTTAGTTGTTTTGCCTTATAACTAATGGCATTTTTTGTAATATATTCATCAACAAAAGTTTGTTTTTCAAATGTACTTCAAAAATACAAATAATTTCAAATATATACTGGGTATTATCGATTTAAAGAAAAAACATTTATTGTTTTTTTAAAAAAGGAAATTGGCAATTTCGTTAATATAAATTAAAAAAAGGTTAGAATGTCTTTTACAAAAGATGTAGGTCATTCTAGTTATGCGTTTCTAAACAGAGTCAATCTACTTATTTGATGTTAGCCAATACTTGAGAGATACGTTTGTATATTGTGTCAATATTCATTTGTTAGTTTTGGTAAGATTTAGTAAGCATTGATAAGAGAGAATCTCTTTAGATGGTAACTAGATCTTTTTGTATGTGTATATAAGTTGGAACGCATCGATGAATAAAACTTAGAAAACATTCTATAGCATGTACCTAGTTTTACATGGTATCAGAGACAAACACTTAAAAAAAAACTTGAAAAAATGTCTGAAGATACGAAGGCTATCGAGAAAGCAGAGACCTCAAGGACAATTACTCCGGCGTTCCAACTGGCAGCAACTGAGAACCATGGTGCGATCATAGCGCAGGTTCAATTCAATGGAGACAACTTTGATGAATGGGCTCAGGCGGTGCGGACTGCGCTGCGAGTCAAGAAGAAATCCGGTTTTGTTGACGGGACAGTAACAAAACCAGAAGAAGGTGCAAGTGACTATGAAGATTGGTTGTCAGCAAAGTCGATGGTGACACTTTGGATCTTGAACACGGTAGATCCAAAGGTGAGAAGAACACTCTAAAGGAAACGGACCGAGAATTCAGGAGAACAAGGCAGAGCTTGCTCACTGCCGTCAAGGAAATCAGAGTGTGATTGAATACTATGGAAAGTTATAGATGTTATGGGAAGATATGGCGAATTATGACAAGGTGGTGGCATGCAAGTGTGGAAGATGTTCTTACAACATCAACACCGAACTGGAGAAGAAGCGAGAAGACGATCGGATTCACCAATTTCTTCTCGAACTTGATACCGCGGTGTACGGAGGAGTGAGAACATCGATCGTGACCACAGATCCTCTTCCAAACATGAATCAAGTCTATTCCAAGGTGAAATCGGTGGAAATAATTAATACAGTGATGCGGGGGAGGGAACAACATAACACTCAGGTGGCGTTCGCAGTTCGTGGAGGAAATCCCTTGTTTGGCAAGGAGGAGAAGGGAAAGCTTGTGTGTTCAGTATGAAAGAAAATTGGACATACCTCTGATACTTGCTTCCAAGTTATCGGGTACCCGGAGTGGTGGCCTGAAAAACCGCGTAACAATGGAGGAGTTGGACGTGGTGGAAGAAGACAAGGAGTGGGGAGAGGACATGGAGTAATGGCTCGTGCAAATGTCATGGTTGCAGGGAATGGACCAGAGACGAGCGTGGAGGCTGAGAAAAGTGAGTACACTAGTCTCACTAATGAACAATGGGAGGTGCTGATGAAGGTACTTGAAGAAAATAAGGGAAGCTCTTCACGCCTCAGTGGTAAGTCTCTCTCTCTCTTGAATGAGTATTAGACACGGGAGCTACAAATCACATAACAGGTTTTAGTGATTTGTTGACTAGTCGAAAGTATATGTTGCCGTGTATGATAGGATTGCCAAATGGGAAAAATTCTTTGGCAAGGGAAAAAGGAACTGTGAGTTTGAACTAAAAATGTGTTGTTTGTGCCAGAGCTGAGATGCAATTTGATATTAGTGTCACAACTTATTGCCGATTTAGATATGGTAATGCAGATTGCTAACAAGGGATGTGTGGTTCAGGACCATATAACGAGGAATGTGACTGGAGCAAGAGAGCTTAGAGATGGACTCTATTTCTTTCGACGGCTAACGAATTTTAAAGCGTTGCATTTGAATAAAGATGGAGCTGAAGAACTTTGGCATCAAAGGCTTGGGCATCCATCCAATGGTGTTTTTAATTTACTTCCAGTTGTTGGTGTTAGGAATAAGGATTTTTCAGTTTGTGACACTTGTTTAAAGGCTAAACATTGCCGTGAAGTTTTTCATTCAAGTGAGAATAAAAGTGATGGAATTTTCGATATGACACACACTGATTTATGGGGTCCTTATCGCCGTGCGTCTCTGTGCAATTCATATTATTTTTTGACCATAGTCGATGATTTTTCAAGAGGAGTTTGGGTTTATCTTTTGCGAGATAAGACTCAAGTAAAAGAAAATTTGATGAACTTTGTGGCATTAATATCAAGACAGTTCAACAAAAATGTAAAAGTCGTGAGAAGTGACAATGGTACGGAGTTTACATGTCTTGCTTCGGACTTCAAAAGGCTAGGGATCGTTCATCAAACGTCTTTTGTCGGTACTCCGCAACAAAATGGGAGAGTGAAACGAAAGCATCGACATATCTTAAACGTGGCTAGAGCCTTGTTGTTTCAGTCATCACTCTCAAATAAGTTTTGGGGACAGAGTGTGCTAAACGCTGCTCATTTGATAAACCGAACTCCGTCACGGTTATTGAAAGGGAAGACACCGTATGAGATAATTTATAACACAGCTCCGAAGTATGAGAACTTGAGAGTATTTGGATGCTTGGCGTTTCCACACAAGCAACGGCGTGGAGGAGATAAATTTGAAGCTAGAAGCCGAAAATGTGTATTCCTAGGGTATCTTTTCGGTAAGAATGGGTGGAATATGTATGATTTGGAGACGGAAGAGGTATTTGTCTCAAGAGATATTGTTTTTGTTGAAAATAATTTTCCGATGGGCTGTGAGGCTACAGTGACTTCGGGAACAGAAAATGACATTTCTGATTTTGGTTGGGAAGAAGAAGAAGTGTTGGAAGACACAACACATAAACCACTTGTGGTGAATGATGAGAATGTTGGAGAAGAGAGAGTTTCAACCGAGGATACACATGGGTCTGTTGAAACAGAGAACCATGAAACAGAGGAAGAAACAGAAGAGATTGAGACTGATCATGATGAAGAAGTACCGCAAGCAGAGGCTGTTAATGATAGTAAGTCAGATACTGAAGATGATGCACCTGTTGTAAGATTCGGGCCTGGTTTGAGAGAAACGAAACTTCTTGCTAAGTTTCAAGATTATGTGATGAACACTATCATCAAGGTAGAATCTAATGACAATAGCTTATATCCGCTGTCTCAATATCTTGATGCTAAAAATTTTTCGGAACCGTTTCTTGCGTTTCTTGCTGTAGCAAGTGAGAACACGGAGCCGGAATTTTTTCGAGATGATGTGGTAGACAAACGTTGGAGAGTGGCAATGTCGAATGAAGTAGATGCAATGGAGATTAATAAAACCTGAGATTTAACGACACTTCCACCTGGTAAAAAGGTATAGGGTGTAAGTGGGTCTTTAAAATAAAATACAACTTTAATGGAACGATTGAAAGGTTCAAAACTCGGTTAGTAGCACTCGGTAATAGACAGAAGGAAGGCGTTGATTATTCTGAGACATTTGCGCCTGTTATCAAAAATTTCCACGGTCCGGACATTCTTGGAAGTCGCTGCGGCAAAGAAGTGGGAGTTAAATCAAATGGATGCACACAATGCTTTTCTTCATGGAGATTTGGAAGAAGAGGTGTAAATGACGTTGCCACCCGGGTTTAGAGCAGGTAATCAGAACATGGTGTGTCGATTAAGAAAATCAATATACGGGTTGAAACAATCGCCACGATGGTTGTTTACAAAGCTGCGTGGCTCACTTCTTGAATACGGATTTTGTCAGTCAAGAGCTAATTATTTTTTATTCCATTTACGAAGAGGAAAATCAGAGATATACATACTCGTATACGTTAATGATCTTATCATTGGAGGTAATGATTCTGTGGAAATAGGAAAATTTAAGAATTACTTGGGAGAGTGTTTTCACATGAAAGACTTGGGATCTTTGAAATATTTCTTAGGCATCAAAGTTGCGAGAAATAAAGATGGGATTTTCTTATGCCAAAGAAAATATACACTTGACATTATTCAGGAAGTGGGGATGATGGGATCAAAACCAGTTAGCACTCCGTTAGAGCAACAACACAAGCTGAGTTACTCTAAACAGCCACTTATGGATAAACCATAACAGTTTCGACGACTTGTAGGCCGGTTGATTTACTTGTTAGCCAATACTTGAGAGATATGTTTGTATATTGTGTCAATATTCGTTTGTTAGTTTTGGTAAGATTTAGCTTGGAGAGAAAGTTAGCATTGATAAGAGAGAATCTCTTTAGATGGTAACTAGATCTTTTTGTATGTGTATATAAGTTGGAACGCATCGATGAATAAAACTCAGAAAACATTCTATAGCATGTACCTAGTTTTACATTTGAAATAAGATATGAGTCATTTTGAGTAATTTTCACGTACGAAATATGTGATTTATTTTTTAAGTTCACTTGCTAATGTATCTCCAATAAAAAGCAAATATAGTTCCCAAATGGAAGCAATTATAAAAATATAAGATGCATTTTTAGGTTATATGCATGTAGTAGACATAAATCAACATCTATACTATTAATTGAGAATCACTAGATATGAAATAACCTTATAAAGGGTAAAATATTACATAAGATGTCATTGATTTTTAGTGTTTTTAAATAAATTCATTAAAGGTACAATAGCAATCACAAAATTAATATATTTAAATAAAAAATAGTAAAATTCTTTTTAGTAATTATTAGTTTCCAAACAATTAAACTCACTTTCTCTCTCTTATTAATTATGGACGAAAATGAAATTAATTTCTAAAAAATTGTTAACCAATGAGAATTGAAAAACTAAGATTTGATATCCAATTAAGATGCTAAACCAATCCTAATAGACTATTCTATATCAAAAATAAAAATAAAAATAATATCATTTTAATTCAAAATTAAAAATACTATCGTTTAAAAGTTTTATCAATGGAGTATTTTAAGATTGAATTTGAAATTTCTTAAAAAAAAATAAATACAAATATTTTAAGATTCAGTTTTGTTATAATATCTTCATAAAATTTAAAATATAAAACGTAATTTTATTTCCTAATTTCTAAAAAACATTTTGTATATAGTATCACGTTAAGTTTGACAGTATCAAATCAAACATTAAATTATAATTAACTATTACAATGAATATATTAAATATTTAAAATATATCTAATTTGAGTGATGGAAGATATCTTTTGTATTTAGTATCACATTAAATTATTATCGTGTATTTTTAGTGGAAATTTTAATGTTATTTTTTAGTCTGATTTGTTTCCGGAAGGAAAGATCATTGCTATTGGAACTCGTGGATCTAGAGCTCAAACTAATGGTCTAAACAATGATTTCAAATATAAAGAAATTCTGACAGAAAACATAAGAGTGTGATAGTCAAACCTTTGACGAGCATGTTTTACATCCTAATAACTCCTCCCAAGGTAAAAATTTCTTATCTTCTCCCTCATCTCTAAATTTGTAGAGATATTCCTATTTCGGTTAAAGTTATTTTTGAATTACGGAATCTAAACTTTTAAATTTTGACATATTCTTAACTTTTGAACTAACAACAACAATTGAACATTTGTTTCTCCTGATTTTCTGATAAACTAATTATAATTATATAAGATTTTTTTTTTCAATAACATGTGACATATTTCTTATGATTATTTTCTATTTTTTCTTTTACTTACATTATTCTTAAAATGTTGTAGTATTATTATTCTCTTTATTTCTACATTCTAAAACAAATAAATCACTTGACCTAATTATGAAGTATTTTGCAATGTACTTTTGCTAATTAAATATTTTCTGCAACATTTTATATATTATCATTCACTTATAAAAAACTAATTTGTGTTTAACAGGTATAATCGATAAGTTGGTTTTGCTCTCACTTTATTGGAGCATTTGCAATTATATATATAAAGAATTCGCTCTCTTTCTAATAAGCTACTAACCCCAAGGCAAGTGTTTATAATTGACTTATTATGATGATTATATGTCATATTTTGCTTATTAAGGTCTATAATCTATAGGAGTGACCATCACTATTTTCCTTTCAATTTGATGAACTAATATGGCTTACTTATTTTATAATGATCAGTAAGGGGAGACTATCAAGACGCCACTTAACCAAGACTACATCTCGATGAAAATGACATGGATGAGGGTGGTATAGAGCCTACAAAATCTGATGAGTGACGTGCTTATACAATTTTAATCTAATGAGGGAACTTATGTCAATTTTAAATTAATTTGTGTGTCGATTTGCATTCATGTGTTAATATTTGCATTCATGTGACAAATTTTAAACACAAATATTATTTTATTTTAGATAATAATTCATAAGACGTAATAGATGCTTTGTTTACAATATATATCTTAGTCACAATATTTATATTAATTATATATTTGAAAACTAACTAACAATATTTACATATTTTACTATATTAATTTTACCCACGCATTGCGTGGAACTTTTCCTAGTTATCGATATAGAAGAGTGTCAAAGCAAATCCAAACAAAACAAGGTAACATTTGATATCAACATTTCAGCCTCTATCAATGTCTTTCCAAATTCAAACTAAGTTATGTTATTTGTCATTAACAATACTTTTTCCATCCATATATGAGAAAAACTTTTGACATTAATATTGATTTTTGTTGCTCTTACTTTTTTACCTTTTTTTTTCCCTACTTTTCTTTTCTTCATTTTGTAACAGCAACGTAGTTTAAGGGTTTATTAAGATGGGAGATAAATGTTAAAAATTCTGAAAATTCCAAGCCATTTTTGCAAATTTTTCATCAGCTTTTAAATATCATTATATGGGCTTTTAGGCCCATATAATTGAAGCCCAAAAAAGCCTAGTAAGGAATAATCAAGAAGATCTCTTCTTCCCTGAGACGGCGAAAGGAACACGGAGGACGATCGGAGTACGAAGCAATGCTTGGGCTTTCTTACGGTGAGCTCTTACTCATCATCGGCGCCACAGCTGCTGTTGTAGGTTAGTCTCTCTTCAATCGAAAAAACTTTACCAGCTTCGATTTTTGTGTTCCTCTCCCAAATTTCTCTGAAATCGAAAGATTTGTGTGTTAATTGGAAGAATCAAATGTCAATTTTGGATTTTTTCAGGACCCAAGGATCTTCCGATTATTGCTAGAGCAGGAGGAAGATTATTCGGACGAGCCATTGGTTACATCAATATGGCTCGTGGTCACTTGGATGGTGTCATGAAACAACCTCAGATGCAAGAGGTTTCATTTGTTTTTATCAACATCATTGTTGTTCTTCATGAATCTTAAGGAACTTGTGTAGTGAATTTGAATGGTAGCTTTACATGTTCCTTGAAGTTTTGTTGGCTTACAATACTCTCATACTTGGGTTTAGATATCGAAAGAAGTTCAAGATTTACGAGCACAAGTAGACGCGATTAGCCATGGAGCTAGGTTTTCTCTATTTGATTCTAGTCCTTTGACTCGAAGAGTAGACAACCAAACTCCAGAACCTAGTCCAAGCACCACCAATGGTATATAAAACACTCACTAGTCACTATTTTTTTCTTCTTGTTGTTGTTCATTATTTGGTTTTGTTCTATTGTAGGGAATGTTACATCGGTTAATGTTGAAGAAAGACAGAAGCCTGTAGATCATTATACAAAGGTCTTTTTTTTTTGTTATAGTCCTTCTTGATCCATTTGTTTTGTATTCAATTGTGCAATTCACACTTTTCTCTTTTTATGTTCATAAAAGGCTCAAGAATTTAGTGGCTCGTCCTCGGCTTCAGTTAATCTGCACGCTCAAGCAACATCATTTGCACGATTATCTGAGACTGTCAGTGGAAAAACCAACACTCTAAGCAGTGATTCACCTGTTCTTCCTGTTTCAGCTGAGATGGCAAAGTTGCTTCCTCAACGCAAAGGTAGAAAGCATTTATATGTTTTCGTTATGAAATGTTTTGTTTCGTTCTGGACCATATTTGTTTATAGCTTGAGTTTAGAAACCGAAGTTGCTCATTTTATCCCAAATGTTTGGTGGCAGAGAGTGCAAGAGGATCTGATTTAATGTTGGAGGCAGTTCTTGAAGCGGAAGTAGCACACAAGGCGAAAAGCTTTTTCGCACAAGCCGAAAAAGAAACTCCAGCTTTAAAAGGTGAGGCAAAACAATCTCTTTAGTCTACTCTGTTCTACAAGCAATGAACTCAAACTCAAACTACAAGCTATAATAGATTAAACTCTTGTCTGTAATCTTGTGAGTGTTGCAGGGAAGTTTTTCAGTGAAGGGAAAGGAGAAAGTTGAAGACTTGAAGTCAAAGTTTTGGCCTTTTGGGGATCTTCGATCACAAGACACTGGGCTACGTAGCGTCAAACGAGTGGGCCTTGTTATTTAAGTGGGCTTTTTTGTTAAATGGGCGAAAGCCTGACTTTGGTTTCTGTTGCGGTAACAAGTGATCTAGACTTGGTCGAAATCAGTGCACTCTTTGATCTTGTAATTAGTGCTGCGGCTTCATAAATATTGTTGAGAGTGAAAACTGATGTTATAAATACAGTAAAACCTCTATAAATTAATAATATTGGGATAGTAAAATTTTATTAATTTATAGAGAATAATTTATCGATAAATTTAGGGAAATTTGGATATTAAGGAGGTTTATTTTAAAATTTGTTCACATGCATTCTATGGTGAAATTTGGTGACATATGATTTACTAAAATTTTAACTCCATTATACCCTTAAACTTTAAAAATCTTATAAAATTGTAGAAATCTTTTTTCTATTTTCCTAGAATCTTGCAAATTTTTTCCCTAATATTTGGTTTATCTAAACCATCCCGAATATTCGGTGAATCAAAACCGTACCGAGCAAGACTAAAATAATGAAGAGATCCACCGAGATATGTTGTTCCCTAGTCAAGTCCAAGTATCTTCAAAATTGCTTGGTTTTATGAATACTTTTGGTATAAACAGGGAATCGGATAATCAAATTCATGTTTATGCTTCAGATCCTTCTTAATCGCTTTTGATAATTTCGGTGAATAATTTGACCAATAATGAGGTGCACGTATTACTTTTTTTTTTTTAGGTGTATCACTTACATTGTCTCTGGTAGATCAGATTCAAGTTCTTGTTTGCAAGTTCAATATGTTTGATCGTAAGACGATATTTCTCACATATGTAATCCAATTGTATTATAAGATTGAAATATCCAGTGATCAAACATCACATTTTTCATTCGATGACAGTACATTATCAAATTTGTGTCGTGTGAATTAAAAACCAAAGACTTGAGAAAAAGTTTATTTGAGAAAATACTTTGATGCATGAGGATAAATAGGAAGAATCTAATGTCGTGTGTACTAATTAACAAGACGACATAATGTACAGATAATCAAGGCTAGATAATGTCGTGTGTTCTAATTAAGATTTTGTTTCTTTTTTTTAAAAAAAGAAATTCTAAATTAGATAGAATGTAATTCTAGTTTTTATAGAATATAAGAAAAATCTTAAGAACACGTTTTCTAATATTTTTAGAACATGAATAAATGTTAGAAAACATATTCTATAATTTATAGAACAAAGAGAAAAGTATAGAATATATATTCCAATTTTTTTAGAAATTAGTATTCTAAATACCGTAGATCATAAAAGACTTCTAAATTTCGTAGAACATGTAGAGTGTGTAGAATACATAATCTAAATTTCGTAGAATATGTAGAGTGCATAGAATACACATTCTAAATTTCAGAAGGTGTATTCTAAACTTTATAGATCAAATTTTATCCATCCATAACGTCAACAAAAACGACATATTTTGACATTTTATATATCCTCATGTCTTCTTCATCATTTTTCTACAAATGTTTCTTAATTTCTTTTGAAACAATTGGTTCAATCTAATGCAAGGGATATTTTAGGAATAATTGACATTTGTTAATAGAATGCATATATGAACAAATGTTTAATTATTTATCCTTTATTTCTAATTTTCCCATAAATTTATAGAGAGATTTTCTTAATTTCATAACTTTTTTAATTTTCAAGGAACATATAAGATTTCTTTATTATATAAAATATTTTTTTAGAACCAATGACTAGTAAAAAAACAATTATCATGTCTAGAAAATAACACCAAAATGTTTTTTGATATAGTAAAATTATTAGAATTAAATTCAAATAAGAACTAATGCGAATTTAAACAAAATAAAACAATACTAAAATTATATTTCATTGAAGTTTCTTGGTTTTCAACTAGTAAGTGGAGAAAAAAAGAAAAAATAACATAATAATTACCGAGAAATCCGCGGATATTTCAATGTGATAAATAATGTAAAATATTTCCAAAAAAGAGAGTGCAAACATCAAAAAATAGCCATGGAAAATATAAAATCACCGATTCATGAATTTTAATCTGGATTATGTCATGGCAACAAAGGGGAGATAACCAGATATATACGTAGGAAATTTTTTTTATATAGGTTCCAAAATATCATTAACAAAGAATAAAAGGAGATATATATATATATATATATTGGTGGCAATGTTGGGTTAGGTTACAGCAAATGAGCATCATGCATGTGATGAAATTCGAATATTAGCTTCATATATATTGCCCACCAACTATAACTTATGATGATGTCTACGTATGATCATGTGTGTATCTATTTTATACCATTTATTGGATCGAACGGTGGATCAATCCAACATCATATAGCATAACCTTTTCAAATTGATTTATATTCCAAATAAAATGAATTTGCAATTATTGCCACGAAACGGAACCGAGGAGAATGTCATTAACCGGTTTATTGTTAGATACATCTCATTTTCAGAATTTAATTTTTAGCTAAGTAAGCTAGTCATGAACTTAAATCTTAAAGACCATGCAATGAAACCAACGTTTCACATTTCAAATCAAAACCCAAAGTCTTGTCGTCTTCCGTGTAACAATAAATACCACACTCACTAGTCACTACCTTAAAAATTCTCCTTTTTGAGGCAAATTCGGGTAAAACCAACAATCTCAAAAATTCGGATAAAACCAAAAACCAAAACTTCGGATTATCTCGGCTTGATCGCCTTTTTTTCTTTTATGGTTCACACTGCAGAATTGGTCTTGTGACTCTTATCTATTATTACCGAATTTTGTTACATATCAGTTTTAGTCTCATGTATATTTATAAAATTTTATAATAAATTAATATAATTTTACTTAGTCAATAACTGGACTTTTTCTTGCTGACAAAAATAAAATAATGAGTAATTAACAGTAGATTTATATATTATTTTGTATCTAGATATATGTTCCAATTCGTAACTATTTTTGAGAAAAAGAATGAGTAGTTGTATCCCGAGCTTTGTGTAACAACCTCGGCTATATAAGTAATCTCTGATTTCTTTTTTCCAAATCAACCTCAAATACCACTATCTTCATCTTTTGTAATAATCTTATCTACAAGTAAAACAATGGAAAGAATACCAATAAAGTTTTATTTCGTTATCTTCTTGATTGTTACATCAGGTAAATTTTATATTTCATGTGTGAAACAAATAACAAAAAACTACATACAAATTATTTTTGTTTAATAATTTTTTATTTTTTAGTGATGAGTACTGTTACCGTTCGAAATGTTGAGGCAAAAAGGTTATTACTTGAAGAAATTCCTCAGAATGTGTTACATCATGAAGGTTCACCACAGGTTGTGCAATCACAGGATGATGACTGCATGGAAGGGTGTCATATGAGATGTATTCCTAACAACAGAATTAGTCCTTGTTTATGTGTATGTTAATTTTCGTTTCTTTTTGTTGAATCGGATAATAAGATAATTTTTCATTAATAATAAAACTTTGTTTCAAACAATAATTACTTTGTTTCATAGAATATAAGATATTATTGTGTTTATATGAATTGGCACGAATTTGCTTGATGAAAAATTATTCTGATGGGTGGCATGCTCTTTGCCTGTGATCTTCCAGTGGCCTAACCGCGACAATTTCTGCTGGGTTAGGTTACTGCAAATGAATATCATGCATGATAGGAATTCGAATAATATATATTAGCTTCATATTGCCGATCTACTATTTTTTTATTGTTTTTTTTTTTATTTTTATTAAAGAACCTACTAACTTATTATGATTTATATGTATATGATCATGTGGGTATCTATTTTATATCATTTATTACATTCAACGGTGGATTAATCCAACATTATATTATATATATAGACTAACCTTTTCAAATTGATTTAGATTCCAAATAAATTGTTTTTTGCAATTATGGCCACGAAACGGGGTTGGAGAGAATGTCATGAACCGGTTTGTTGTTAGATACACCTCATTTTCAGTATTTGATTTCTAGCTAAGTAAGCTAGTCATGAACTTAAACTTAAACACCATGCAATGAAACCAACGTTTCACATTTCAAATTATACCTGAAGTCTTGTCGTCTACCGTGTAACAATAAATACCACACTCACTACCTTTTTAAAATTCTCCTTTTTGAGACAAATTCCGATAAAACCAACAATCTCCAAAATGTACTCACCAAAAAAAAAAAAACAATCTCCAAAATGTTCACTTCCCAAATGTCGTAATCCATATATCATACTCAAGAAGAAGGTTTTAAAGTTTTAAAGTTTAAACTATTAGGAGGTCATGTGCAAAATATATATATATATATATATATATATATTGTCAAAAAAATATTTAATGATATTTGTGAAGCTTTAGTTATGAACGAGAGTTGTACAAATATTCAAAACTTTTTCTATAGGGAAACAAGAAAAGAAATCGAGACTCTATTCAAATGCACCACAAGCATATGATAAAAAAAATATAGTCTTGAACATAGGTTTTCAAATTTGGTTCTCCAAAAGAGATAAGGTTGGTTCACTAAAGCATGACAAGTACATAAAATGCCTTGCTGTAACATGAAACAAAGACAGAGAGATATCAAAACCCAAAAACTATAAGACCCCATAAATGATGAACTGTCTGAAGACAAAAAACCTTATGGGAAGATATCTTGTCAGTTTGTTTCTGGATTCATATATATGAAGATTATTAGAAGTTTCATAGAGACAGAGAGACAAATTAAGTTGGGATTTTTCATGAGTACTAGTAAAGAAAAAGAAATAGTATACTAAGTATTCATGTGGTTTGGTTGTTTCATCAACAAGAGAACAATCACCAAAATTTTAACTCAAAGTTTAAAACTTTGGTAAGATGTAAAAAAAGAAAAAAATTTACAACTTTGGTATTAAAATAAAAAACAGGGTCAATGAAACTCCTCAAAACCTTATCTTCAAAACACAAAAAAAAAAACCTATAAATGTGTTTTGACTTTAGACAGCTAGAGTTTCAACTCAATTGACTAGGATGATCTAATCTTGATATCACAAGAACCACAAATAGATGAAAGAGTAAGTTCTTGGCTTTAAGAGAGAGAGGTGACATATGCATATGGCAGACCACATGTACATGTAATGCTTACCCTACAAAACTCAATGCTTGAACAAAAGAAAAAGGGTTTTATATTCTGCACATGAGTGTACCATACTCTACCCCACTTCCTTGAATTAGGGCTACAGAGAAATGAATCTAGACCGTCGTCTAAGATCAAAGAAAGTATCTTTCTTTGTGTTGAAGATGAGAGTGTCCCACAAATGTCCCCAAAATGATGGGACACACTTTGCCTCAAAGTTGCTGCTACTGTTTACTACCCGACAGCTTTAGCTTTTGCCTTTGTCCTTAAATCAAGTTAATCCCATTTTTTCTAAATTACCAAAAAAAGTGACTTTTCAATTCCTATAAAACACTCTTCTTCACAAAGCCTCTTATCTCATCAACAAGTCTTTCTCTCTCTAGACAACCATAAGAACACAAAACACACAAAACAAAGTTTCTTTCTTTGAAGAAGAAATGGAAAAAGTTGGTGTTTATGATGAGCTTGATAACCTTAAGGCAACAGAGCTGAGATTGGGATTACCAGGGACAGAAGAAACTGTTTCTTGCGGTAAAAGCAACAAAAGAGCTTTACCTAATGATACTGAGAAAGAGATTGAATCCACTGGAAAAACCGAAACCGAAACCGCTTCTCCTCCAAAGTAAGTATTTTGAACCAACTACAAAAACTTCTTTGAAAATGTGTGTTGATTTGTAGATCTGATCTAATCTATACAATTTCTTGTTTTGTAGGGCTCAGATTGTTGGATGGCCACCAGTTAGATCTTACAGAAAGAACAATATTCAGACAAAGAAGAATGAATCTGAAGGTCAAGGAAATTATGTGAAAGTGAGTATGGATGGTGCTCCATATCTAAGGAAGATAGATCTAACTATGTATAAACAATACCCTGAGTTGATGAAGTCACTTGAAAACATGTTTAAATTCTCTGTGGGAGAATATTTTGAGAGAGAAGGATATAAAGGCTCAGACTTTGTTCCTACTTATGAAGATAAAGATGGTGATTGGATGCTTGTTGGTGATGTTCCTTGGGAGTAAGTACAAAGTTTCAATCATCTCTCAAAATAGTAACTTATGACACAATCTTGATTATGTACTTATAGTGTTTTGTTGTTGTTGCTATTACAGGATGTTTGTTTCGTCTTGTAAGAGGTTAAGGATCATGAAAGGATCAGAAGTTAAAGGTTTAGGTTGTGGTGTTTGATACACCTAATTGAGAGACTAAAGATCAAAGAGAAAGATTCAAAAACAGAGTTTTTTTGTTCTGTTTCTTGAAACAGAGTAAATATAGCTCTGAAACTGCTCGGGTTTTCGGGGAGAGATGATGTTTCATACAATCATACTTTGTGAATTTTTACCTCATCGGTAAAAAATATACACTTCTTGTGGTGTTCTTGATTCTGATGGTAACAAAATGTAACAGAGAAATGCTTAAAATGGTCTTAAGCATATAAGTATGAGAAAGATCTAAATCTAAACTTTAGCTGTAACTCTGTTTCCTTAAAGGAAAAGGTTTTGTGGTGTTAGAAAGATCATTAATTATGTTTGTGTTTTTTGTAATGTTCTAATCGAACAAATTATGTAATTACCCATTTTTCTGTTTCTGTTTCTCTTTAAATTAAGATCTGTGTTAACAAATTCTGCAAAATGCACTCAAATCAAGAATTTACAAAACAGTAAAACAGAACATAAGATCATTCACATATGATGCTCTGTTTTATTGACATAACTTGCAGATGAACACAACAAACAAATCATTAAACCAAAGCTGGTTTATGGCACAAAAAAATGAACCAGCTTTTAAGGAACTTCATTGGATTCCAGAGACTTTTAAACTTAGATTATAGATGTTTAATCACCAAGAGATAGAGAGATTAAAGAAATGAGAAATCTAATCGAGCAGTGGGAATATTTTTGGGGCTTTGGAAATGTTTATATTATCTTTTGTTGTTAGTTTGATACCTACTGTGACTTTGGTCCCCCATACCTTAAACAAGTGAATCTACCCAACTGTGCTAATTTGTCTCCACTATCACTTAAAATAATCTATCTCATATTATAATATTTATGAAACTTGGAATCATAGATGTGCTCCAACCATTTATACATTCAAACCTAATGTTCTTGATGCTAGATGATTACCAACACTTAAACCTAATTGCCCCAATAATTAAATCTATAAAAACTGTGAAACAATCTTGTATCAAAAATGGAGGATGATGACTACAGAGAAATCTTTTAGAGTCATTATCGAACACCTTTCGGGTATGAACATTATCTAGGGAGGAGGCAACAATCGATCAACACGACGGATTCAAGATTCTTGATGAGAATGTATAACTGAATATTAATCTATATTCCTAAATAAAGTTTTTGTAATCTTCTTTTTGAAACATATAAATAAATGTGAGAGTTAAGAAGAGTATAATCTTTGATCATCAGTTTCTGACTCTAACAAGGTTAACTCTTGACCTGTTTGGTCGTTGCTACTACCACCAGAGATTGTCATTATTGGTTCAGACTGAGAAGTAAATCCTTCTTCTTCCTGTGGTTTCTTTTCCACTCTTTGATCCGTGATCAGCACAATTGGAGTGCTAGTAACTACCGGTTTAGCTTGGTCAACATCTTCACGATCTGTCTTCTCCGGTAGAACATAAGACAAACCGTATTTCTGAGCATGTGTTAGTCCTGGGCATAAACCCTACAAAACCCAAACCAGAAGAAGGTTTCAAAACCTTTAAGTAACTGACTCTGCTGCAATTGTTGGAAGGAACTCCAAAAGAAAGAAACAATCTTTTTTTTTACTGACCTTTATCAAACCGGTAATTGGAAAAGATTCGTGGTAAGGATAGATGTTACTGCGATCATCGTTATTACTCTCTTCTTCAAGGACTTCTTGTTCCGGTTTTGTGGAATTGCTTGGACAATATCCGCCAAAGTAAGAGCAACGTTCTCGAGCTAGAGATATTTGCGGTGTTAATGGTAAAAGATGACCTTCCGTGCTAAAGATATACCTGAAAATTAAGTGAAGTTAACAAGATTAGTCAAATGTTGTAGTAATTGTGAAAATCAAGAGGTTAGTGCACGGAGATTTTGTACTTGTAAGGGCCATTGTCAACGAGGTTATCTGACTCAACAGCTAAGTCGAAGAGTAGCCATAAGTACTTTACCTGAAATATTTGTGAAATGCAAAAACATGTCAAGGCTTTACGTAAATGCAATATTGAGAAGCAGAGTTTTTTTTTTTTTTGTTTTTTTTACAGTTTCTGCGAGGAAAAAGCTCTCCATGTGATCTTCTTGTTTATGAAGTTCTACATCTGTAATGTGACAATAACCGCAAGGACATTTTGCCCCATATTGCAAACTAGCCACAAAGTCACGTCCTGCATCAAGATACCTGTCGACGAGCAAATTGCATTGCAATTTAGTAGTGGAATCATTTTTGGATGAAGAATTAAAAAAATGTAACTAATTCATTTGGTGACCTGGGATCTCTGGTAGCTTTGTACAACCAATATGTGCTCTCGATTAGTTCCGGCCTTAGGGGATAACTCTTTTGCCCATACTGTAAGGAAAATGAAGAATAGATATGTTGTAACATCATAGTGCCATCAGAAAATGATCACAGAGACACTTAAAATCAAGATAGAGTACCTGGACACTAAGTGTAGCAAGATTAAAACCCTCAGGGGTGAAACCATATCGTTTCCAGACGCTAAAGAAGGCAGTGTGAGTTCTAATTGCCGGATCAACATCTCCAGCTAAGACCTTTTGAGAGAAACATAGATACAAAACAGTATAGTCTAATTTTCCAACCTGAAATATATTAACATTCAAACATAGAATCACTATTTACCTGAAGTCCTGGCCAGAAAGCTTGAAGGCTGTTAAATACTGGCCAGACAATAGCTGCGGAATCCATATTGACTTCTACATACCTACGACAAAACTAGAAAAAACAATAAGTCCAAACAAAGGGATTGTTTGTTCATGTTTCTCATAACACAAGATACAGAAAGCTTACCAAGGATCCTTGTGAAGGTACTGCATTGCAGATCTATAAGCTTCTTGAAAAATGTATAGATATTCCTCATCCCCAAAGAGTATATAAGCCTGGAATTGTCGAATCAAACTAAAGTAAAGCGAGGAAAATATCAATGCCGCTCAAGTCTTATGCAAAGTTGAGAACAGAAATTAAAATTTTATGGATTTCTGGATTTCGAGGACTTGGCCATTATATCTTGTCAAAGGCTCTTACTAACCTTGAGGAGATACTCATAAAAGGAATCAATGCTTGTTCCTATACCAGCATCCTGCCAAGTAAACACTACCGATTTAGAATTTGGGTGACAAAAAAAGACCAATTAGTTTGTAGAAGCAAAGTTCCTCAACAAAATGAAGAATAGCCTTAAGTTAGTAACTGAAGTATGCCAAAAACCGTAGTTCTTCTGAAATATACAGAAGCCATTTTTGTTACCTTCTGTGTCCATTCACCTGTAAAGACATTGATGTGAGCACCAACCAAGTCGAGATTTGAACGACGTGCCCATAGTCCCCTCACCGCATTCTTTGCAACTTGTTCGAAAACTTCAATTTTAACAAAGTTGGACCACCATGTGAGAGCACGTAAAAAACAAAACAAACTATAAAAATCAACAATACATCTCTTGGAAATCCAAATGAATGTCATAGAAGAATAAAGAGAGTTAAAGAGACGTATTCCTCAGTGACTAAACTGATTTACTCACCAGGATCATTTGTTAAACGACTAAGCACGCCAAACTCTAAAGACAAAGTACCACCACCTGCAGTCGATGTTATCTGAACAAACCAAAAAAAAGATGCATGAAAACATGAGTTCCAATATATGAATCAAAAGATAAGATCAGCAAGCAGAAAATGAGTAGCTGAATCTCAACACTATTTAACTCGTTGAGAACTACCAAAGTTAGGCAAACCAAGCATATTAGTATCATTTATATTAATGTGCACTCCAGTCAGTCACCAAAAGCACAGATCAACAAATTAAATATGTCAGAATCAGATGTGAAAGCTATGAGAAGGGAAAAGAAGATGGCTTGCCTTGCTTTCATGTTTGTCAACACCGTACATCAAATTCACAGATCCAAATGGGATTCCTGTAGGAAAAAAAAAAAAAAAGAAGAAGAAGGAGATGAAAAAGCAATTCCTCGCTTTCACATATGCACACCAGCGTATTAACAAGTGATAGCTAAAAGAGCATACCAGTTGGTGTATCAAATGCAGGAAGCATTCTCCGTGTCAAATCCTCAGCCAAAACTAGTAATTCATTGTTGTAAGATGGAATTCTCATGCCCTGTCATCAGATTAGAATCAAATTCAAGTTTACATGGCAACAACCAAAACCACTTTAATAACGAGATTTTTAGAATTTGGAAGTCCAGTAAGACAATAAGGTATCGTAAGATTCGTTTGCAGAATAAGCTCATATCAAGCCTAACACATTATAGAGGACGCAAAAAAATACTTTTATTTTATGGCTGAAGAATATGCATGTACCCTCACATTAGATAAACTCATGACGTAATAAATAGCCACGCAGAAAAAATTACCGTTGCATAATCACTTGCAATCAGATGAGCAGAGAGTAAGCCCCCGAGGACTCGGATAGTTGTCTCGAACACAGAGACAGTTTTATTCTGCAATTAAAAAGACATGTATCAGTGCATCAGTTTCACTGCCAGGTTATGACTTACATAGAAAAGCTGAAAGGAGTACTTGAGAAAATAACAATTAAAACATGGTCTTGCTAGAGAAGCCAAAACCAATCATTACTCACTATATTAAACTGAAGGTTTTTACCAATCCATTCAACAGAAGAAGTGAAGCGCTCTCGGTCACCTAGTAAAGCTAATGTATCCAACGAGTCAATCTACACAAATGCCACCAAAACCACTGTCAGCTTTTACATAATACTGAGCCTCACACAAGACAAGGTTAAAACATAAAAGTTTACCAGGGTCAACGCATAGCCTCCAAGAGTATCTTCTCCTTGGCAAGATAACGGTCTTAATTCATCGAGCGGAAACGCATTGTTCATATATCCATCAAACGCATGATAAAACATCCCACGTACCTACAGTCAATGTGATCAAACCCATCTTTTAGGTAATTGGCAAAGAACAAGGAGCTAAACCACCACCAAACTAAGTGATCTCACCTAAACTACTAAATGTTCTGGTCAAAAGGCTAAAGAAGTTACCTTTACGACATAATTAGCATCAATGAGTAATTACAACATCCAAAGATCAAGACTTTAAGTGTCCCACAAAAATAAATAGCTCTAATACTCAATTTGGGGATAACTGATAAACCAATTGATGACCAAAATCGAAATCCAGATCTGTTGAGGAATGTTACCTCGTCTCTAAGCTGTTTAGCTTCATCAAGCTTAACACTTTCGGCGAGAGCTCCATGGTCAAGGACAAAACTTGAAAATGTGAGAGAGATTAAGATGGCAAACACAAGCCACCTGATATTTGATTCCATGAATAAACTATTTTGGTGAGTTTCTTCTGATTTCAGTTGTGTCTGTGTGTTGAATGAATCTTCTCAGACATCAGTCTGGATCTCCTCTTGTCCGAGGAGTTTTATTTCAACTGTGTCACTCGGTGGCTCGTCCTTCAATCACGATTCAACAGAGCAATAAATCTTTGGGTTTTTCTTCTAACATTTATTTCTGTTTTTTTTTCAGCCATTAATTACTGAAAAACACAAAATTGAATTACGGGTTTTCGGTTTGGTTTGGTTTAGGTTTAGTTTTCCGGTTTTACGATTTTTGGTTTTACAAAAACTAAAATCATATAGAAACCATATATAATTCGGTTTGGCTACGGTTCGGTTTATACGGTTTTACGATTTATTGGTTTATTAAAAAATGAAACATATGAACATCATATGTATCTCGGTTCGATTCGGTTTCGGTTTGATTCCGGTTTTTAAAGGTTATTTCATGTTTTTACAAAAATATTGGTTTGCTGCATATATAAAAGTAAACACAGAATAAAAAATATAAGTTTGCTGCTTTGTGTTTTGAGTTGATTTGTTTCTATCCACAATCTCAAAGATGTGGATTAGAAAAACCAAACCTTGCTAACAACTCTGTATCTTAATGTATATGTGCACTCAAACATTTTCTTCTCATTTCTTAATGTATCTCAAAAATTTAGGATTTAGAATAAGAATTGATTATTTTATTTTATTTTGGTGAGAACATATAAACTAGTTAATTCGTACAATCAGGGTTTCAAAACTTTCTAAATAAAGAAAAGTATCTTAACTGAAGAAACTGATTCGATGGAAGAAGATATATCTATGGTCAATTGTGTTAAGTAAAAAAGCTCCAAGAAAGATTCAAATGGGAGTTTATACCCTAAAATTTTAGAGTTTCATTTCAAAAGCTTAAAGCAACAGACACATATCTCTCTGAATTCCATGACCACACCAAAATCTATATAAATATATATATATATTTTTGCATAAGATCCCAGTAGAGACCATTGCAACGAGTAATCGGAACTGATGAAGAGGTGTGTAGTGTGTTTGAAGAAGCCGAGAACCCGATCACTGCAAAAATATCAAAGAGAAGAAACAAACATTATGGTCACAACTCCAAGTATTTGACGAGATGCTGTTCAAAGATCTTTTTCCTACAAATTAACTCGTAGGTAAGTAAACCGACCTGTTGCTTCTTCTTCTTAGGCCGTCTCTTCCTTTTGGGTTTATGAGCATCAGAATTAGAGCTCAAGTTGCTACTCTGACTGCTATATGAACTCGCCGCAGAAGCCCTTGCATTATATGAAGACTCACTTCTTCTGTTTGAAGTGTTGTTTCTCGAGGATGATGGCATCTCATTCCTCTGTACATATGAATTCTTCCTATAATTTGATTCAAACCTTGCTTGTGGTGGCGGCATTAAAGCCCTATCAGAGTTTTGCTTCTACAAGATTTCACAACATTCAAATTCGTAAAACAGAGTTTGTCATAGAAACCATGTCTTTAGTAAAAAGTGGCATCACCATTGATCATACCTGATTCCTTTCATCACTAGACATGCCAGAAGTTGCTCTACCAGAAGCACTAGAGGCAGCCTCCCTAAGAAATATAGTCAGAAAATCTCTTTATTACTAAGCTTCAATTTGAAAGTATTAACGTCTAAAAGAAAGTATTCCACATTTAACTAGGCCTACTTTGCGCTTTTATCGGTCAATTCATCATCTGCGTCTGCTTCATCGCTTGAACTCCCTTTATCAAAGAAATCATCATCACTAAGGTCCAGAAGACCATCGTCTTCACTCCCTGTCTCTGTTTGTCGACAACCATAACATAAATTATCATTTATTAGCTATGATACTTCATAGTTCAGAAATAAGCATCTCTAAATATCATGTGTTTACCTTCTAACTCTTTCCCACTAGCAGCAGCAACAATAATATTGGCTTTGATCTGCTTCCGCATTTTACCTCTCTTCTCAATTACTTCTGAATCCTCAGCTCCAGTAAAAAGAGATACATACTTCTCATTTTTCGGGAAGAACTGCAATTTTACATTTAACAAGAACAGACATTCTCAACTAAGCTAATTCTAAATCACATAACTAACAAGCAGAAGGATGCGAAATAGTAAAACGAGAACGCCGTGTATTGAAGTTAACTTACCCTAACATATTCAAGGTCTTCTTTGAGTTTACTGAGTTGCTCAACTATATCTGTATCTCCCACATGAGCAGATGAAGTACGTTGTAACTTCTCAAGACGTCTAATGCTCCTTTCGATCTTTCTCCGCTCTATTCAAGAAAATAAAAAGCTCCAACTTCTCAGGCATCATTACTAATTAAATCATGACTAAATATTAGAACCATTGGTAAAAGCTCTTCTTACCAAAGAACTTAATCTTTCTGTTCCTAAGGAATATTTTACGTTCAACAGCAAGACGGGTATGAGCGTCTTGCTGCTTCTTCAAATCTTCCAACTTCTCAACTAAAGACTCTCTTACTTCAGGAGGCAAATCCTAAAGAGTATCAAAAATACATCAACAATCAAAATTCTCATATGGGTTTGCTTCTAATTGACCATATATAATCAAATTCTCTACAAGAACATAACCTAGAAATAACATTGTAAACCCTTAAGCTCTACACCACATACGCTAACTAAATCGCCAGAAAGGCTGGAACTTTAAGAGAGATTCGAACATAAAACCCTAATATCAGAGAGAAAATGAGCTGACTTTACGAAGAAAGCGTTCAACGGAACGCATCTGATTCTTGATAGAGACAGTCTTAGGTTTCTTCTCTACACGCAATACTTTCGACCTCCGACTACTTCCCGCCGCCTGATTAGGTTCCGAAACTCTTCTCTTGGCATAACCTCCGTGCGCCATGGCTGAGGATTTTGCCAAAGCTGTAGTTGAAGGGGAAGACTTGAGACTTGAGACTTGAGACTTGAGAGAGCAACAGACAAAAATTAGGGGTTGTGTTTTATTCTTTGTTCGGCGTTAGCTTTTTTTTTTAGCTTCTTTCAATCGGGCTTCGAAACGCAGCGTATTAGGGGATACATTACACAACTAGGTTGAACCGGATTATTTTCCGGGTAAACCGGTTTGTCGGATTGTGATCGTAGATAAACGGGAAAGACACGTAGATATTAATTTATGGAAATTCCAGTTTTGCCCTCGGTGAAGAAATCGATTCCAGTTTTCCACAAATCGATTTCGTGTTTGATTAGGGGTACATTGTTCGATGTTCAGGCGAACGAAGATCTCGTCGACAAGAGAAGATCCTTTGGAGGCAATGATTCAGGAAGAATCGCACATATACATCAGATTACATACCTTTCGAATCCGTCCACGTCCCTCTTCGTCTAGTGTGATGCAGCAGTTACGCAGTGGTGCAGTGACATTCTTCAAGATGCGACCTTTTCTTCTTATGTCTACAGGTACGCGTCGTTCCTACTTGTACTTGGTGAATATCTGTAATTCTGTATACAGTTTTATGTCTTCTGAATGTTACTTTGTGTGTGCCTGAATTTGCCTTCTCTTTTTTTTTGTATCACCGTGTCTTACTTATTTACGTGTGATTAGAGTTAGACTACCGGAAGGAACAGAATATTACATTAGTCGAAAGAAAGAATTTTGTTCTTCGTATTTTATGGCTTAGTAAATTTCACATTTGTGGATATCAAACTTCTTACTTTTCTTCAAACGTGAAAATTTCTTTTTAATAAACTGGTTAATCTCCTTTAACAAAAAAAAAATAAACTGGTTAATCTCATTTAAACAATTATTGGTGACTGTTTCAGTTTCTTGGAAGCTGGCACTCTCAATAAACTAATTGACATTGCTGTCTTGACTTTTAATTTCTTGATACAGTCAGTACAGGAATGCACGATTGTATTCCTCTTTCTCTCCCCCATTCATCCCTTTCGATCGTGTTGTTTCTTGCATCGCCTTGGCAGTAATACCGGGGTTTTCTTTCTTAACGTTTGTGCAAAATGCTGGACTGGCTTGTAATACCCTGGAATCAAATCTTCACTGCTGCATGTGGCTGCTTTTTAAGCGATAGAAACTACATTCACTTGATGGAGTCAAATCTCGATGCTCTGCAAACAACTACAGACGAACTTAAGAATAGACGAGATGGTCTGTTAAGAAGAGTTTCCATGGAAGAAGATAAAGGTTTGCAACGGCTTGCTCAAGTCAACGGATGGCTTTCAAGGGTAGAAAGTGTTGAATCCCAAGTCAATGATCTGCTTGAGGTTATATCAATTGAAACTGGAAGATTGTGTTTGTTTGGATATTGTTCTGAGGATTGCATATCAAGCTACAAGTATGGTGGAAACGTAATGAAGAATTTCGAAGAAGTTAAAGAACTTCTATCTAAGAAAGATTTTGAAGTGGTGGCGCAGAAAATTATACCTAAGGCGGAGAAGAAGCATATCCAAACCACAGTTGGTTTGGATACACTGGTTGGAATAGCATGGGAAAGCCTCATGAACGATGAAATAAGAACCTTGGGTCTTTATGGTATGGGGGGAGTAGGAAAAACAACCCTCTTAGCAAGTATCAACAACAAATTCGTTGAATTGGAGAGTGAATTTGATGTTGTGATATGGGTTGTGGTATCTAAAGAATTTCAGTTTGAGGGCATTCAAGATCAGATTCTGGGAAGATTACGTCTTGACAAGGAATGGAAACAAGAAACAGAAAATAAGAAAGCTTTGTACATAGACAATATCCTTAATAGAAAGAAATTTGTGCTGTTGTTGGATGATCTCTGGAGCGAAGTAGATCTGAACAGGATAGGAGTTCCACCTCCAACTCGAGAAAATGGATCCAAGATTGTTTTCACCACTCGTTCGAAGGAAGTTTGCAAGCACATGAATGTTGACAAGCAGATAAAAGTTGATTGTTTGTCACCAGATGAAGCGCGGGAATTGTTTCGAATTACCGTTGGAGATATCATATTCAACAGCTATCAAGATATTCCCGCACTTGCAAGAATAGTTGCTGCAAAATGTCATGGCTTGCCACTTGCACTTAATGTCACTGGCAAAGCCATGTCATGTAAAGAGACTATAAAAGAATGGTATCTTGCGATTTATGTTCTGAATTCGCTTGGCCACGAGTTTCCAGGTATGGAAGAGAGAATTTTTGGCGTTTTGAAGTTCAGTTATGATAGCTTAAAGAATGGTGAAATCAAATCGTGCTTCCTATATTGTTCTTTGTTTCCTGAAGATTTTGAAATAGAGAAAGAGAAGTTGATAGAATACTGGATTTGCGAAGGCTTTATAAATCCGAACAGATATGAAGATGGAGGTACCAACCAAGGTTATGATATAATTGGCTTATTAGTTCGTGCACATTTGTTAGTTGATTGTGGAGTCAAAGTTAAAATGCATGATGTGATACGTGAGATGGCTCTTTGGATAAATTCTGACTTCGGAAATCAACAAGGAACAATTTGTGTGAAATCTGGTGCACGTCTGATACCGAATGACATCAATTGGGAGATTGTGAGACAGATGTCTTTAATTAGTAATCAGATTTGGGAGATATCTTGCAGTCCCAACTGCCCGAACCTTTCAACCCTATTACTCTCAGATAACAATTTGTTCTTTATATCATTTGGATTCTTTCGGTTTATGCCAAAACTTGTGGTCTTGGATCTTTCTAAAAACGAGAGTCTTATTGGATTGCCGGAAGAAATTTCTAACTTAGGCTCCCTGCAGTATCTCAATTTATCAAGAACAATGATACAATCGCTACCAGTTGGTCTAAAGAAGTTGAAGAAACTAATCTACTTGAACCTGGAGTTCACTCAAGTACTTGAGAGTCATCTTGTTGGGATAGCAGCAACCTTACCAAATCTGCAAGTGTTGAAATTAAAAGATTCCCGTGTTTGTGTTGATGACATATTAATGGAGGAATTACAGCACTTGGAGCACTTGAAGATTTTAACGGCAAATGTAAAGGATGCCACGATTTTGGAAAGGATACAAGGAATTGACCGATTGGCAAGTAGTATTCGAGGTTTATGTCTACTAGAAATGTCAGCACCTCGTGTAATATTACGCACAATAGCTCTGGGAGGTCTTCAACAACTTGGAATTGATAGCTGCGACATATCTGAGATAACGATAGATTGGGAAAGCAAAGAAAGAAGGGAGCTTTCACCAATGGAGATTCTTCCATCTACAAGTTCTCCAGGCTTCAAGCAACTCTCCACTGTTAGTATACTAAATTTGGTAGGGCAAAGGGATTTGTCATGGCTGTTATTTGTTCAAAATCTAAAGAAACTAGAAGTGGGCTTTTCACCAGAAATAGAAGAAATAATAAATAAGGAGAAAGGAATGAGTATTACCAAAGTACATCGAGATATTGTTCTTCCCTTTGGGAACCTGGAATCCCTTAAGCTAAACCGATTGCCTGAACTTAAGGAAATCTGCTGGAATTATCGGACTCTTCCTAACCTTAGAGAATTCCATGTCATAGATTGTCCAAAGCTACCTGAAGATATCAGCTAATTTTCTGACTCTTCCTAACCTTAGAGAATTCGATGTCAGAGATTGTCCAATGCTACCTGAAGATGTCGCTAAATTTCTCAAGCTTGCAGAGTAATAACGGGTGGAAGGGTGATGACAAGTGGTCAATTGCTAAAGTGAAGAAATCGAATTAGAGTACCAATTGTTTCCTTTGTTTCTTATTGTTTCCTTTGTTTCTTTGTTTGATTTGCTTCTGCTTCCAGAAAAGAAGGAACACAAGAGAGTCCTTCAAGTTTCTTTCATCTTTCACGTTTCTTTTGCTTCCTTGTGTGTAGGAACGTGTAGTTCCAAGACTGTTTCCTAAAATATAAATGAAAAAGCCAAAAAAAAAAAAAGGCAGAGAAATTTGCCTGAAGAATTTTTGTTCTTGTGTTTATTATTCATGATTTGATTGGGACCTGATCATCGGGGATTAATAATGGGAGAAATATGTTTCTAGGCAAAGGAATGGTCTCTCTCATGTACAGGTTTGGAATAAAGCCATTACATAACTGGTCTCTACTGTATAAACTTTGCTCCCACTTTGTGTAACTGCACTGTATCCTCTCAGTTCTTAATTTGGTTTTGTATTGATATGTACTGTTTTTGTTTCAATGACCTCTTGTTATCCAGTTACATTTCTCAAAGTTTAAACTTTCCTCTCTTCACAGTGTGAATTCAAAGTGGCGTGTTTTTGTCATGTTTGTGTTGTCTCCTAAGTAACGAACCAGAGTTTGTCAAGGAGAGCATAGATAGCGTTTATGTTTCTGGATTGAGCTAGTTTTAGATCCATGTACCAGATTGTTCTTAGAAGTTAGAACGTTCATTGATTTCTAAGTGAGTCCATGTAGCCCACCACAAACAATTCAATTTGAAGTTTTGGCAATATCTTTACCTTTTTGAAAAATACTCTTTTCCAAACATCACTGATGATGAATAAAAGTCATTACAAAGACTGATTTTTATTTGGGGTCAAAGAAGGAATTAAGAGCAATGATCCAAAAGAGGGGTTCAACGACTTATTTGAAGCTTGCATTTGTGAGTCAGTCTGCTTGCCCAATGTCGCTTGGTATGTAATAAACTATAACATATGTGGTATATGAGATTGTATATATTTTCATGGTGTGATGGGTTGGTCTCCTTCAAGCTCTGATATAACAATCAATGAGTCATTCATTTCAAGGGAGAGAGGTTCTGTCTTTGGAACCGGATTGATTATCTGTAACCACGGAAAAAACTGAGTTATCCACATCAGTGAAGACGAGGAGGTTACAGTTTGTTGCAGTTTGGAGTAATAAAACACTTACCTTTTTACCGCCTTTTATGTAGCCTATGGCGACTTCTCTCCTTAACCAAGCTCGCTCTGAAAGCTCAGTGAATGAAGGGTTCTCGCCCTCTTTCATGTACAGCTCAATGTCCCTAACTATTTAAAAGCAAACTCGATATTTCAAAGCAAACTCGATATTTTCAGACCCTAACTATTGTGAAAGTAACAGGCAAAAACATGTGAAGGAAGAGTGTTTTTCTTTTTTTAACCTTTACGTATATCTCGTCACCATCTGCGTCTAGAATGTCCTTCCATACCTCGTTCAGTTCTCTATTTTCAGCAACTGATTAACAAGAGTATTACTACTGTTCGGATTGTGGATAGATAACCAAGAAACAAAATTGAATTGATTAAATGTAACCTTGTAATGTTACAAGGCTCATAACTTCCTCTGCTGCTATGAAAGTAAGGGACGACTTGAGTCCTGTTATCTGTATGGTTTTCTATAATGTTTCAGCAACTTAACCGTAAAGAAGCTAACATAAAAAAAGAAAAACGCCTTTGAATACCTGCTTGCCGAGTTTTGAGTCGACGATTTCAGAGGCTAGATTATGTACCTAAAGAAACAACAAAAGTAAGATGAATTTTACCTGTGCAATGTGGTTAGGATTCGATGAAAAGTTAAAAGATTACCTTTACTCCAAGCTTGTTGCAGATGCTTTCAGCGAGGAGAAGAGAGTAAGCGGATTGTTTGTCTGCTCTAGATGGATCTAACATACATCAAATTATTTGTTAGTGTTACCATTATTGCAAAAGACGGAATTAACAAGAACTAGTCGCGAATGCTTACCTCCAAGAAGCCAGTCTCGATCCGATATGACAAGGATGGTCAAAGGAATATTTTTGCCTTTTCTATATTTACTTTTCATACGGATTATAGTTTGCTTTAATGTATCATAATTCAGAGGATTCCCAACCTGCAGAAGATTGAAAAACATCAATACACAATGACTTTGACCCTCTTCTTGTTCATGCCTCTGAAAATGAAATTTACCTTATGTGAAACTTGGATGTTCTTGATTTTCACTGAACCCATACTATCGCCCACTCTTCTTCTGTCCTCTAACGGTACATCCGATAATATTTCCTGTGTACAGATAATTATTAGTAACTCATTATGTGAGAGCCAAGCGGAGAGAGATAATGGTATATAATCATACCATTGAACTGTCTGGACCAAGATAGTTATCAAACTCCTCGATCATTTGCACAACGTCTCCACGCCAACCAAGTAAAAGTATAGATTCTGTGGGTCCTTTGACAGAATCTGATCCCTGTGTAAACCATAGAAATGAAAATAAGAGGTCTCAAATATTACAAAAGCCCAGTATTATAGATCAAACATTGTAGGGGCCAGTTGGGAGTCAGACCTTTGATAAGGACTTACGAGGACGCATTATAATCTTCGCTAGCCTTGATCTTTTTTTCTCAAACACTTGCTTCCGAGTATCAGTCGCAACTGTAATGTTCTCAAGTTTGCTGTCTGTATATAATAGTTGCTTCTTTTTCCAATTGAGAGGTGCGATAAACAATAGTTTGTCGGTTTCCATGAGCTCTTCGTTATCATTTGGGTGGAAATTTACTTTCCCATCTCGTAAAAGGCCATAGACCACAACCTGAAAGGAATACATGTAGAGAATGAAATTAGTAACAACGATCAAAAGGTACTGATTCGAAGAACGAAAAAACATTCTCCCAAGAGTCAATCCTACCTCCTGGAACCCCAGTCTTAATTGTCTATACTTCGTCCCAACTAGATTGGGGAAGCTGCAAAGATTAAATACATTTTCTGCAACAAGTAGACTTAGTATTAATTAGTCTTGAATACAAATATAATACAAAGATGGAAGAAAAATCCTAGACAGATAACAGTAATGTAAGATGAAAGTACACCGTACTTGAGTAATTTAGTAGGTGCCTGTAGATCTTTATCAGGTCCTTTTGACGTGAGCATTGAACAAATAATTTGGACGTAACTTTCAATCCCGTAATGGACTTGAGAAGATCATACGTATTAGGGCTTGATACCTGCATTCATTTCCAGAAGCAAGAAAGGAAAAAGATTAGCATTTCAAACAGAAAACCATTACTGCACAATCTTTAATTACCTAGTTTACCTCTACAATGGTTGGGATCGATTCCATCTTTTGTGTAGGTTGCAGGGCTAATACAGAAAGAAATGCGTCTGTATCAACTTCATACCTGAAACAATGTTTTTCTTAATTGATTCCTCTTTTACAAAGTATTGAGATTCCATACTTTACCACTAGCATTCCAGTTTTCTAACAGGTTTCAGAACAGATTTTATTTCTTTGCACTCATAGTGAAGAACCAAAGTGCATAGTGAAGAACAAGTACAAACCGAACAAACTAAGTGTAATGAGAAATTATCAAGAAGTTAGTTCCCAAAGGCCCCAAATACTCTAGACACATAACCCTTAACCGCATCCTATACATATCCCAATTGCGTAAACATATTCATATGTATTTTACTACAGGAAAGCTAACATGAAAGAGTTACGACACTAAAAACATCTACTACTCAAACATCTATCCGGAACTTCTCAGTTTCCATAATCTTCTTCCTCAAAGCTGATACACATACACACTTTACGAGAGTTGAATATTTCTTACATGTTTAGAATACTGTTTCACTACTCTAGATTCATCAACTAGTAAGTTCAGATTGGCTCATGTGCGTTCGAAGATGTATAAGCTTTTTAAAGCTTACAAGAAACGTCCAAGTATCAACAGTACCTCCTCTTCACAAGTAGAAACTTTGGAAGAAGACATTCCAGCAGGTTACAGTGTAAGTGAATTCTTATTTAGCCATTGTTTTGTTAGTTTTAATCTGATTTTGCATTGCTTATTGATAGCATGTTAAGCTTATCTGATTAAATGCTCAAAGTCTCTGATTAATCTGAGTTTGCACTGCTTATTGATAGCACGTTATTGTCCAATGCTTGTTTAAACTTTTACAGTAGCTTTTGTATCTCATATGTTCTATTTGTGTGTATTTTTCTCAGGGATTTTATGCCTTTTTCTCTCAAAAAGCTGGTAGTAGTGGAAAATCAGAATTGGACATATATTTAGGTGAACCAACACTAGATATGGTTGCTTTTAGAACTTTGAATGTCTTAGCATATTGGAAAGAGAACGCTAGTCGGTTTAAGGAGTTGTCAAGCATGGCTTGCGATGTTCTCTCCATTCCGATAACAACTGTTGCATCTGAGTCGTCATTTAGCATAGGCAGCCGAGTCCTTGATAAATATAGGAGTAGTCTTATTCCTCAAAATGTCCAAGCCTTAATCTGCACAAGGAATTGGGTGCGAGGCTTTCCAGAAGAGGGAGAGGAAGAGGAAGAAGAAAAAGAGAAAGAAAAGGAGAAAGAAGAAGCTTAAACTGTTTTGTTAAACTGTTTTTATGATGTCTCTAATTACAATGTTGGTCTTAGTCATTTTGGATTATTGTGATGTTAAACTGTTTTTCTCTGTCCATGGACATATTTATTTGGTTATGGTCATTTTTGGACTTGGTCACTTTTGGGCTTGGTCACTCTTGGGCTTGGTCATTTTTTTCAACAAAAAAAAAGTGTCCAACTGGACAAGACCATTTGGTCATGGTCAAGACCAATTGACAGCTCTAGGCGGCACCCCTCTCAAATGATTTATCAAAATACAAAAACAATCATATATTTTTATTAAAAAATATAGTATAACGTCAAAATCAAATGTATAATTATTACTTGTGATATAGACTGAATAATAATAATAGTTGAGTTGTAAATAGCAGTTTTATTAAAATATAAAGAATATATTTGATTAATATCTTAATTCAAACCAAAACCGTACGAAACCATTCATTATAGATTTGATTTTAGTTTGGATAACTTGATCCATTAACCGAAATTGAATCAAAAGTCGGATTGAAAATCTTTAACGGTAAGATTAAAAAGTTTTTAAAATTTAGAAAACTGAAATTACCCAGATTGACTCAAAACTAGGCAATAAATACTAAAATGACACCCATTAGTGATGGATTACTAGACTAACACAAATTTTTTGTAAAAAGACTAATTAACCTTAATCAAGATTTTTACAACATTTCTACTCACAAAAAGTAAAAAAAAAAAAACTTATTTGATTTTTGAAATTAAATAATTAAAAAAAAAAAAACAGAAAAATCAAGATTGCTTGCTTCTATTCCAACGACAAGAAACAGATTAACCCCAATAAGAAAAAAAGTGATGAACTAACAAGACCCCAAAAGGAAAAACATAAACTTGGTCACGTTACTAAGATGGAGAAAGAAAAAAAAGGAGACCAAGAACATTTTGAAGAAAAAACCTTAAAAATCTTAAGTAATCACTTAATGATTTTAATGTCAAATATGGTAACTGATTTAAATAAATTTATCATAACAAAGAAAAAAAAACTGTCACCATTTTAAGTATTATTCTAGAAAAAAAATCAGCCAGACCAAAAAAAACCCTGTCATCATAGAGAATCAAAATAACAAATCTGTCGTAACATGAAAACATTGTATAGGTTATTCCAGCAATTTTGTTTTTTCTTTAACAAATCTGCCATCAAACGACAGATTTGTAGTAATATAAATTAATCTGTCACATTACAAAACAACTATGTGGTAACATAAATCTTAATATTAAAAAAAAAATAACAAATCTAATGTTACATGAAAGAGTTTTGGTAACATTTTAAAAATCTGTCATAACATATAACAAATCTGCTATCATTACACGTCATTCTAGTTGTTAATATTTAGTCAAAAAATGTGTTACAACATGACAGTTTTTTTTACGAAATTATAAATCTACCACTACTTACAAAATAAAGCTGCCAGATATTACTATAAGTCTGTCACAAATTACGAAAGTCTGTGGTTGAATTTAAAAAAATCTGTCAAAAAAAATTAATCTGCCTCAATATTTTTTGTCTGTCATAACCATATTCTAAAAATTCTGTCAAATAAATAAGTCTGCCAAAAGAAATCAGTCACGGACAAATAAGTCTACAGTCAAAAAATTAATTTGTCATAACTAGACATCATACTTTTGTAAAATTGCTGGAATTAATTTGGAAGGGTATTTTTTTTTTTTTATACATGAGACAAGAGTATTTTAAGCATGAAAATAACTCATTTAACTCAAATTATTTGTGAGTCAATCTAGTAATTAAACTCAAAATTTGGGTTAATCTAGTAACTCTCCCTTTAGAAACTATACTCTTAATATCATCGAAAAGTATACTGATGATTATGCAAGTAATTTCATATAGAACATGTAAATTAAATTTTGATAAAAGTCCAGTCTATTTGTGGTATTAGGACGAGAAATAGTGGGTGTGGGACGGAAACATGTAATTAGAATAATGAAAAACATTGTACTTAAACGATTTTTGATATACAAAAAAACAATGGGGAAAATAAATTTTGGATAACAGTACGAAATCGAAAAAGATGGGTCGATAAATTCAATTCTCAAACTTTCACTAATCTGGGCAGGGCCGGCCCATGGGTAAAGCCCATGAAGCAAGGGCTTTATGCATCAAATAATTATAAGTAGTTTTAGGGGCATCAATTTTTAAAATGTTACTGTGGTCTAGTGGTTAGATTGAAGTCATTTGTTGTACAAGTCACGGTTTCGAATCCCATACATGTTAAAACTTGTATTTTTTTTTTATAACAGCTTTTGTTAATGGGCCAAAATTTTTTTTGCTTTAGGCACTCAAATAGTTTGGGCCGGCCCTGAATCTGGGTAAGAGTTGATTGTGAATGAACCACTTTGTGACAGATATTTTGAGAATTTTAGGTATTTTGAAAACATTTAGAGAGTTTTTAAGAATTATAGTTTCCACTAACTAACCAAAATATATATCCTAATAGGAATTCAGGTATCTCGTCTAAATTTCTTATCCACCTTTTTTTAATGAACATTGTCATTGTCTTTTTTTTTTTGACATCTTTGGATCGACAAGGCCCGATCCATAGCCAATCCCTACTACGCGGGGTAACGCGATTTAGTGGAGTCGAACTCTGGTGGGGAAAGCGGAGTCAAGTAGACTTAACCACTTGACTAAAGACACATCCCCAAACATTGTCCATTGTCTATTAGGTTATTATTTAAAAGAAAACGGTTATGAGACAGAAATTTTTTGACGAGTACGGGACGAGACATATTTCCCGTTTCAAAATCGATATGTCTAGGTTATATACGTGCAATAATCTAAACAAACGCCACATTGGAATCAGATATTTGGATTTAACACCCCTAAGCAAACTGTGAGAAATATTTTGATTAGTTCAGAAAATATACACAAAACAATCACTTAACATTTGCAAATCTCATCAGATTCGTCGACTGGTACTCACTTTCATCTTTTTTCTTTTCCTTTTTGCATTTTTGCATTCTTACCCATTAAAAATGAACCAAACTTAAAGATATACTTTTAGGGTAAACTATATATTCTATACATCTATTAATATATATATATATGTGTGTGTGTTTAAATTATACTTCCTCCGTTTGATAATATAAGGCGTTTAGGATAAAAAAAATTTATTTCACAATATAAGTCGTTCTCGAGTTTCATCAAATTATATATTATTTTAATATTTTATGATTATTTATATTATGTAGTCTCTTTTTTGATTGGCTGAACTTTTAATCGGCGTGTTTTTACCTAAAACGACTTATATTATGAAACGGATGGAGTATATTAGAATAGTGCTAAAAAATTAAATATCACATACATAGCTATAAATATACATATATATATATATATATATATATATATATATATATATATATATATTATTAAGCTATTAACCCACGACCGACAAACCAATTCGATTGAGGAAGACCCAATTATTTGGAAAATACTTTTTTTTTTAATGAATGTAATATTTATTTATCAAAAAAACTGTTGTTACATTTATTTATTTATTTACTATCTTCCAAGCTATTTATTTGGAAGATACTAAATAAATAAATAAATATACTTATTACTAATAAAACTATATATATAAATAAATATATTAAAATTCATCCGTGTTTACCTAGTTGTTATTTAAAAGAATGAAGAAAAGATAGTATCACCCTTACAGGCAGAAGCTAAGGCCTCTATCAATCTATCTTCTTTGAAGAAGATTACATTTGATGCAAACCTTTATCTTCTTCTATTGGCCAATAAAAAAAAAAAAAAAACAAAAACAAAACAAGATTTCATTTTGTGGATATCAAACTTCTGACTTTTCTTGAAGCTACCACTGCTCTCATATATATATATATATATATATATATATATAATTTTAACCGAAATTTAATCAAAAGTCGGATTGAAAATCTTTAACCATAATATTAAAAAGTTTTTTAAACTTTAGAAAATATACTCATAATATCATCGAAAATATACTCATAATATCATGAAATTTGCATGTCATAATAACATGCAAATAATAATTCATATAGAACATGTACATTAAATTTTGGATAACAGTACAAAATCAAAAAAGATAGGTCGGTAAATTCAATTCTCAAACTTTCACTAATATGGGTAAGAATTGATTATGTGACAGGTAATGAACTACTTTGAGACTGTTGTGGAACTAATTATTTTATTGATCCTCAAGGGAATATATAGAAGTATATCGGGATACAATACATCATGAATAACCCTGATGGGCTTATTGGGCCCGGTTAAAAGTCCAATATGATGTATTATAACACTCCCCCTTGGACAGAGTAACCGGTCCTGATGGTCAATCGGGATCTCGATAATGCGCTGGGGAATGTTGCCTCATTAAAACCTTACCAGGAAAACCCAGTGGGAAAAACCATGGTGAAGGAAAAAGAGTACAACACGCATTACTCCCCCTGATTAGAGCATCACTGTAGATCTCTAAGTCTACGCATTCCTATTTGTTGGATGAGCTTCCAGAGTGTTGAAGCGGGCAATGATTTGGTGAAAAGGTCGGCGGAGTTCTCGCTTGATCGGACCTGTTGAACGCTGATCGTACCATCCTTCTGCCAATCCGAGGTTGAGAAGAATTTTGGTAGGATGTGCTTCGTCCGATCTCCTTTGATATAACCTTCCTTGAGTTGAGCGATACATGCCGCATTGTCTTCATACAACACCGTAGGCTCCTTGTCTTCGTCCATACCAAAATCTGACAGGATGTGCTGAATCATGGATCGTAGCCAAACACATTCTCTGCTGGCTTCGTGAATGGCCAAAAGTTCTGCATGGTTTGATGAAGTGGTAGTGATTGTCTGCTTCATCGATCTCCAAGAGATAGTTGTTCCTCCATGCGTGAACACATAACCAGTTTGAGACTTGGCAGTGTGCGGATCTTGAAGGTATCTTAGGAGGTGTTTGATACCGTTCCAGTGCCTCTGAGTTGGATATGAGCTGAAGCGAGCTAGGAGGTTCACGGCAAAGCAAATGTTTGGTCTAGTGTGACTAGCCAGGTACATTAACGCTCCTACAACACTGAGGTATGGCTATTCTGGACCGAGAATTTCTTCATCGTCCTTCTTGGGACCGAGTGGATCACTGTCCAATCCTAGGCTCCGAACAACCATTGGGCTGGTCAATGGGTGGGCCTGGTCCATGTTGAATCGCTTGAGTACTTTTTCAGTATAAGCCGCTTGATGCACAAGGATTCCTCCTTTGACGTACTCAAGTTGTAAACCCAAACAGAATTTAGTTTTACCTAGGTCTTTCATTTCGAATTCTGCTTTCAAGCAGTCGACTGTTTGGGAGATTTCACCAGATGTTCCGAGGATATTTAGATCATCCACGTAACTGCTATGATTACAAATCCTTTGTTTGAGTATTTCTTGATGAAAATGCATGGACTGATGGGATCGTTTTTTGTAGCCTTCTCTGATGAGATATTCACTTAACCGGTTATACCACATACGTCCACTTTGTTTCAGTCCATACAAGGATTTGTTCAGCCTGATGCAGTACTGATCTCGAAATGCATGCTTATCTTTAAGTTCTATGCCATCTGGTAATCTCATGTATATTTCATTATCCAGGGGCCCATAGAGATATGCGGTGACAACATCCATTAATCGCAAATCTAGATTTTCTCTTATGGCCAGACTTATGAGGAATCGAAAAGTAGTTGCATCCACCACCGGAGAATAAGTCTCCTCATAATCGATTTCGGGTCTCTGTGAGAATCCTTGTGCTACAAGCCGTGCTTTATAACGAACGACTTCACCGAGTTCGTTTCTCTTACGCACAAAGACCCATTTATGGCCCACTGGTTTGACATTGAATGGTGTCCAGATGATCGGACCAAACACATTCCTGAGTTTGAGACTCTTTAACTCCACGTTTATGGCTTCTTTCCATTTTAGCCAGTCTGTTCTATGAGTGCACTGCGTGATAGACGTGGGTTCTAGATCCTCTTGCGTGTTCGCAATATCAAGTGCTACTTTGTATGCAAAGAGTGCATTCTGGTCGACTTCTTTTCTGTTCCATTGGGTTCCAGACATGTTGTAATTGATAGAGATCTCACGTTATCGATCTCTTCAGAACCTAGAGATTCGGCGTCCCGAACCTCTTCTGGTGGTTCATTAGAGTGAGTCTCAGCCGCGGCTATGTCTGTTATATTGGGAATCCCGGTTTCAACTATTGCACCTTTCTTTGATTTCCGTGGATTCTTGTCTTTGGAACCTAGAGGTCTGCCACGTTTATTTCGTGATGCAGACTCTGTAGCAACTTGAACTTGTCCCGTTGGGACAGTTATTCGTACTGGTGCATTACAAGCTGGTATGTACGATTTGGTTACTTTGTTCGGGTCAGCAAAGGAATCTGGCAATTGATTAGCTAGCTTTTGATAGTGTATAATCTTTCAGATCTCTGAATCACATTCTAGAGTCCGAGGATCTTGCTAATTTAAGGATGTTTGATTCCATGATAGCTCTTTGACCAGCTTGTGTTTCTCTCCACCCAATGTTGGATATAACGATTCATCAAATTGGCAATCCACATATCTGGCCTTAAATAGGTCTCCAGTGGTCGGCTCGAGATATTTGATGATGGTGGGAGAATCAAAACCAACATATATTCCCATCCTCCTTTGAGGTCCCATTTTGGTTCTATGTGGTGGAGCAATGGGTACATAGACTGAGCACCCAAATGTTTTGAGATGGGAGATGTCTGGCTCATAACCCGTTAATAATTGGGATGGGGAATATCTATGCTCACTAGATGGTCGGATACGTATTAATTCAGCAGCATGTAATACTGCATGTCCCCAAGCTGAGACCGGGAGCTTCGACCTCATGAGTAATGGTCGAGCAATCCATTGGATTCGTTTAATGAATGATTCAGCAAGTCCATTCTGAGTATGGACATGTGCCACAGGATGTTCAACGGTCACCCCCATGGCCATACAGTAATCATTAAACGCTTGGGAAGTGAATTCACCAGCATTATCAAGACGTATAGTCTTTAGTGGGAAGTCTGGAAAGTGGGCTCGTAATCTGATGATTTGAGCCAACAACCTAGCAAAAGCTTGGTTCCGAGAAGACAATAGGCAGACATACGACCAACGGGTCGAAGCGTCTATTAGTACCATGAAGTACCGGAATGTCCCAGAAGGTGGGTGAATGGGACCACAGATGTCTCCTTGGATTCTTTCCATAAAATGTAATGTCTCTTTGGACACTTTTACTGGTGAAGGCCGGGTGATCAACTTCCCTTGGGAGCAAGCTGTGCACGTGAGGTGCTGAGGGATGACTTGGTTTTCTCGAAGGGTGTGTCCTTGAGAACTTTGGATTAATTTACGCATCATGGTTGTACCGGGATGACCAAGCCGGTCGTGCCAAATAGTGTAATCTTGGAACCGGGCTTTGAGAGCATTATTAGTCTCAATCATACTGACCTTAGCATAGTAAAGGCCAGTACATAATGCGGGTATAGTCTCGAGGACTTGTTTATGGCCAGGTGTGATCTTAGTGATCAGTAGGGATTTTTTGTTCCCTTCACCCTGGGTTTCTATGTGGAAACCATTAAGTCTGATATCTTTAAAACTTAAAAGGTTTCTTTTTGAGCTGGGTGAGTATAATGCATCTGGAATGTCCAGATGTGTGCCGTTTGATAACAACACATGGGCCTGGCCGTGGGCTTCTATTAAGTTCGAGGTACCCGCTATTGTGCTAATATTCGCGGTTTGCATGATTAAATTTATGAAATAACTCTTGTCTTTGAGGATAGTGTGGCTGGATCTACTATCCACCACTATGATATCCATTTGATTGTTCATATCTTCAATTAAACAAGAGGTATGATTTAAAATTGAGTAAATCATAAAATTCATAAATTAATAAAATATCAAAATGTCTGAAAATAAATAGCAAATGAAAAATAAAACAAATCCCCAAAATGAAAAAAAACAAAATCAAAATAAGCAAGTGTTCAGATGATAGAATCAATCGAGGAGATCTGAGATCTCGTAGTCCATGGGATCGGTCGGCTCGGTGGTGGTGTCGTCAGCATCAACTTGCTGGGCCATGTTAGCTTCAGCAGGTGCTTTCCCATGTTTCTGATACAAATCGCAATGAAACTTGGGAGTACGACAGTTCTTTGTCCAGTGATTGAACATTTCGCATCTGGTGCAGGCAGACTTATTGGTTGGGTGGGCAGGGCGGTTTGGTTTAGAGATACCACGGCCCTTACCGGAACCATAACCGAGGTTATGTCGGTTGCCACGTCCATTTCCGCGTCCACGCTTTCCACGTCCATTCCCACGTCCATTCCTATGTCCACGGCCACGATCTGAGGATAGGATTCTTTGCGGGAATCTGGTACTGGAGCCGATCCCGGGGGCCTCTGGGCACTGTTCCTCATTAACAGCTCGTTGTTTTTCTCGGCCAAGAGCAAACAAGATAACAAATCATCGTACAATGTATGTTTCATTGCACGATATTGCTACTGAAGCACAATGTTTTGGGTATGGAAGGTGGATAATGTTTTCTCGAGGAGATCATTATCAGACACCTCTTCACCACATAGTTTCATGATTGAAACTATCCGAAAGAGTTCGGAGTTGTAGTCATCCACAGATTTGTAATCTTGGAACCGGAGTTCCTTCCAGTCAAACTTGGCTTGTGGCAAGAGCACCGTTTTCTGGTAATCATACCGTTTTTTCAGGGCCACCCAAAGTTCGAGTGGGTTCTCAAGAGTGAGATATTGCTGTTTGAGGCTCGCGGCCAAATGATGGCGGATATGAAATATCGCTTGGGACCGGTCTTTATCAGATGCGGTGTTATCCGCTTTGATACACTCACCTAGTCCCTTTGAGTTGAGGAAAATCCTGGTGTCCAGGGCCCATTCGAGATAGTTTTCACCGGAGACCTTGAGGGTTTCGAACTCGACTTTCTGAATATTTGACATCTGAAAACATGAAATTGATTTCATTAGGGGTTTGCTAAAAATTTTTTAGGCAAGTTTCTATTTGAGGAAACTTTATATTTGAGGAAAGTTTATAATTGGGAAACTTTCTAAATGAGGAAAGTTTCTATTTCGGGAAACTTTCTATTTTTAGGAAAGTTTGCATTCCGGGTCATTTGCTATTTGATGAAAGTTTCTAATTTGGGAAACTTTCTAAATGAGGAAAGTTTCTATTTCGGGAAACCTTCTAAATGAGGAAAGTTTCTATTTGAGGAAAGTTTCCATTCTGGGTCATTTGCTATTTGAGGAAAGTTTCTAATTTGGGAAACTTTCTAAATGAGGAAAGTTTCTGTTTCGGGAGACCTTCTAAATGAGGAAAGTTTCTATTTGAGGAAAGTTTCTATTTCGGGAAACTTTCTAATTTAGGAAACTTTCTCGGGAATTGTAAATTTTAAGGATACGGTTTATATAGAACATAAGTTCGGTTTAATGGTTTAAAGTTGAACCGGAATATTAGATTCCGGTTTAGGGATTTTTTGGTTTTTGGGGTTGGGCCGAATTGATTTCCGGTTTAGAATAACCGATTTAAACCGGTTTACCCAGATTGAGATCCGGTTATTATTTTTGGAACCGGTTTGATAATCGGTTTAACCGATGAACCGAATTGATATTCGGGTTTAGGAGTTAACCGAGAATGATTTCCGGTTTAGGGGATACACGAAAATTGCGGTTTTGGACATAGAAGTGGTTGAGCCGCGATTTTACAAAGTAAGCGGTTGAGCCGCGATTTTACAAAGTAAGCGGTTGAGCCGCTAGGTTTCAATCGGTTTATGTTTCGATGATGAGAACGATTTGAATTCGCGATTGTAGACATGCGGTTGAAAACGTTTGAAAAACGCATTAGGGTTTTTGTTTCTTTTTGAGGAAAACGATTTGAATTTTGCGGTTTTCAAACGCAAAAACGTTTTTAGGGTTTCATATGGCAAAATCGTGAATGGTATTGAAAGGGTTTTCAATACAAAAGCGATGAAAATGATTCGGTTTATGGGATTCTCATGCATGACATCAAAATGAACAGTGTCGTGATGAACAGTGTCGATGATGAACAGTACCACGATCGGATCTGATGATGTGCGGTTTTTAGGGTTATAGCGATTTTTAGGGTTAGGGCTTTTTGAAGGTGGTTTTATTTCTCTAGGGCAAACTCGTGCTGATAACGTGTTGTGGAACTAATTATTTTATTGATCCTCAAGGGAATATATAGAAGTACATCGGGATACAATACATAATGAATAACCATGATGGGCTTATTGGGTCCGGTTATAAGTCCAATATAATGTATTATAACAGAGACTTATATTTTGAGAATTTTAGGTGTTTTTGAAAACATTTAGAGAGATTTTGAGAATTATAATTTCCACTAACTAACTAAATATAAATATCCAAATAGGAATTCAGATATCCCGTCTAAATTTCTTACATAATCTTTTTTTAATGAACATTGTCTAATAAGTTATTATTTAAAAGAAAACGGTTATGAGACATAAATTTGTTGACGAGTACGGGACTAGACGTATTTCCCGTTTCAAAACAGATATGTCTAGGTTATATACGTGCAATAACCTAAACTAACACCAAATTCAAAACCGATATTTGGATTTAACACCCATAAGCAAATTGTGAGAAATATTTTGATTGGTTCAGAAAATATACACATAACAATCACTTAATATTTGCAACTAAATTATATAATTAAAATAACCCAATTCTAACTCATTTTTACGAATTAAAAATTTAACTCAAAAACATACGAATTATGAATTCTCTTTTTAATCTAATGATTGTGGAAGCCCCTTGGCCCATTGGTTGACCAAGGGTTAATTAATGTTTCTACACCAAGAGATATGGGGTTCGAGTCCCAGATACTGCGATTTATTAATAAATTTGCAGATTAAAAAGAGGCAAGTGTGCAGGAGATCTCCAGCGATGTACAATTATAGCCGTTCGCCAGGATTCTACGCAGTGAGAGAAGTGTCGTCAGATCGTGGATCATCGAAGGTATTCGTCAAGAGTATGAAGAAAGAAGTGTCGTCTGTCGTGGATCTAATAAGGGTCGGAAGGAATTGTCCGTTGTAGAATCGTCTATGTAACAGTTCTCATAATTTGCAATAAATAATAAATCTAGACGGCAAAAAAAAAAAAATCTAATGATCTTCATTTCCTATTTTCCATAAAAAAAATCCAACTTGCCAAATTTTTGTTTAAGAAATATTTCTTCTAGTAATTTGACTATATTATTTCTATTTTATTTATAAAAACAAATCCGAAACATATATTTTTCTTTAAAATATTCCTTTTCTAAAAGGAATTATACTTTTACATTAGTATATATAAAAATAAAGTTATCTACCGGTGGACTATGATCCAAATCTAATTTACACCAATGATTAAATCTGTACCGTTCAAATTACTGATTTTGTAACTATGAATTTCTAAATATACAAAATAATTGTTTGGACATGTAGTTTACGCACATATCACAACTTCCACACTAAAATCGCCTGAAACAAACTTAATCATGTCCAATTATATAACATCAATTCTTGCTTACTATGTCCAAATTCAAAATAAAACATATCATAAATACACCAAACAATTAGTTTCACAACTTTAAAATAAAACACTTCTACAAGATATTTAAAACCAAAAATATATTTAATAAAAAATAAATAAATAAATAAACAAAAAAAAACAAAAAAAAAAGAAGATTTTCATTTTGTGGATATAAAACTTCTGACTATTCTTGAAGCTACCACTACTGTTAATAAAATCGTTACTCTCATCTAAACAATTATTGGTTGCAGTGATATCAGAACAAAATTAAATATTATATACATAGCTATAAATATATATTTATTATTAAGCTATTATCCTACGACCGACACACTAATTCGATTGAGGAAGACCCGATTATTTGGAAAATACTTTTTTTTTGTATGAATGTAAAATTTATTTATCAAAAAAACTGTTGTTACATTTATTTATATATTTATTTACTATCTTCCAAGCTATTTATTTGGAAGATACTAAATAAATAAATAAATATACTTATTAATAATAAAACTATATATATAATGGAGAAAAGATAATATCACCCTAAGGCCTCTTATCATCTTTGAAGGAGATTACATTTGATGCAAACCTTTATCTTCTTCTATTGGCCAATTAATAAAAAAAAATTAAAAAGAATTAAAAAAAAATGAAGATTTCATTTTGTGGATATCAAACTTATGACTTTTCTTGAAGATACCACTACTCTCGTCTATACAATTATTGGTTGCAGTGATATCAGAACAAACATCTGAGTTTCTTTGAAGCTGCCTCTCTCAATAAACTGATAGACGTTGTATTCCTCTTTCTCTCCCCTTCATCGCCTTCTCTTGTGTTCTTTCTTAAAGTTTAAATAACTAGCTGTCTCTCACCGGATTCATCTTCTTCTCCACCGGACGAAGA